TATATAACATGAAAATCATGTAAGAGTTGTATTCAAATAATTATAATTATAAATTACAGATCCAGGAATAAAAACAACACCTATAATTGTCTCTTCAGACTCTTCCATTTTTCTTTGTACATCATGATGAATATCAGCAGATATTTTACCATGTGTTTATAAGTTTTACTTTAATAAAAACAGGTTACACATTTTACATTGGAAGAATTTCTATTTTAAGATTCTACTGGATATAAAAGATCAAAATAGGTATAATAAAGCAAACACTTACATTTATAGGAACACCAGAAAGCACATGGAAACGATGCACAATGTGATATTCTTCTATTTATGTGATATTCAATGCATATCAGTCTTTCATTTAGCACTAGTCTTGCTGGCTGACCCATTCACTGATGATGCTTAGTCCCTCAAGCTTTAAGATAACAGAACCAGAACAATCCACTCAATAAGCTCTCTCTGTCTCTCTCAGCCCTTTTCACCACTCCAGTTAGTGAGATAAAGCTTCAACCCCCTATTTATATTATAATGAGCCATTTTAGATGGGAAGAAAAGCTGCATAAACAAGATCCCAAAATTACCAAAAACCCAGAGGGATTCAGAGTCAGAAAGGACCATGCATTAGAGTGAGAGAGAAAGATTATCCATTCAGATCACTTTATTTTATTAACAGTTATGACTTCTGCTGTTCTACATAATATTTTATGTTTATTCCTACTCAGTCGGTTTTATTGCTTTAACATTTTGGCAGTATAGTATGGGACACATTCAAGAAAATTGAATTGAGAGGAGGGTTTGTGTGTTAGAGAGATAAAGAGTGCATTAGCTGACATCATTACTGGCGTTGGGATCAGACCTGGAGGATCCACTTACAGGTGTGTGTGTGTGTTTAGGGGATACGGAGTGTGTGCTTGTGAGAGTGAATGAGAAAAAGAGAGAAAGTGTGTGTGTATCTGAAACAGTGAAAAGAAATTGTGTGGGAATGTTGGACATGACTCAGCAATTCAATCAGAACACTAACACAGTGCCCTCTCTTCTCTGTGTGTGTGTGTGTGTGTGTGTGTGTGTGTGTGTGTGCGTGTGGCAAAGAGGTAATGAAAGAGAAAAACAGAATCTACTGCAGTGTGTGTGTTTGAGAGAATAACTGTTTAAAAGTCTTTGAATCTTTAAGAGTGTGTGTGTTTGAACTGATTGGATGAAACAGCCTATTCAGCGCAACAAACAGTCACTCTCTCCCTCACACAGTGTTCTAACTAGACAAAGCGCAAGCAAATAAAAGCTTGTCTTAACCAGCGACAGTCATAGTAAGCTATAAAACAGGATATTTTGTTGATTGGTTTCCATTTCTACAAATTACTTGTCTCTCAGAAGAGCCTGATTGAGACAACCAATACTGAACAATAAAACCAAACACTAAACAGCATTGTATGCCAGTAGCCACAGTATCTCTGATGCCCAGACATAAACACTGCCGCATTAATAAATTTGTCAGTGTCTATGCAGTTTTATTAATTTGCAAAATGTCTTAAAATATTAGTGAAATATAATTTCAGTATGCATCTGCACTTTTGTATGTGCTTTGCTCTTCCAGTATGTCATGAGATCTGTTAAGTCCAGGGCACACTGAATCTGTCAGTCTACTCTTTCAAAAACTAAATGACAAAAAAAAAAAAAAAAAATCCCAAACATTTATCTGGCACAAAAAACAATGAAGACTTCAGTTAGTAGACAGCATTAAATATACACAAAAAGCAAGCAACTAATCAAAATAGAAAACCCTAATTCATTTAATTTAGTGGAAAACATAGCAAAGAACAACAGCATTGAGCTAAATGCATTGAACCATTGCTGCTACACCACAATTAAAGGGGACATCAGATGCAAAATTCACTTTTACATGGTGTTTACATATAAATGTGTCTTAGTAGTGTATGGACACAACCACCCTACAATGATAAAAATCCAATCACTCCTTTTTTTTTTTTATCCCCCCAAAAATAAACTGTCAATTATCAAGCCGTTTAGATTTTTTGAGCAATATGACACTATACTGCTCAGGCCCCGTCCACAACTGCTGACGGACTGTCCCGTATTTGCATATTTCCGTCCATCAGCCAGTTGTACGCTGTCTGACATTTTCTCCGTGCTCAAGCAGCTGTAGCGACAACAAATTTCTTGTAAGCAATGCAGGTGTTTTGTAGTTGGATGTAAAAGTGAACACAAGAGTCTTCATTTTCTCCCGACATGAGAGCCACTGAGGACGCATTGGATTATTTTTGTTTTTGATGGTAATGCACCACCAAATATGCAAAAAACAGAAGAGAGGGGTGGGGTGAGCAGTAGCTCATTATCATTTAAAGAAACATGCACCGAAATGAAACAGAGCTGTTTTTGACGAGGTAAAAAGAGTGTTGTCTTATACGATCATTTAGGAATTTTAACCGAAGTATTTTGCAGACATTTCATGAAGACCCTAAATAAGCATACCAACTTGTGGAAAATGGGCATCCAATGTCCCCTTTAAAAAAGCTAGACTGTTTTGAAAGCAGATGATTTGTCATGCCTACTGAAAAATGTAGTCAATTAGTTGTGCAACAAATTATTCCCCAATACAAAAAGGTGGAGTATTATTCATGGGTGAGAGGTATTATTCATGCAGTTCATCATGCAGAGCGAGGGCAGAGATAATGAAGTTTGCTGGCCACAGTCAGCGACAAACAGAACACTGTGTCAATGTGTCAATTAGTAATTCTCAGGCTGGTGAAATAGATTTATTAACTGTAAAAAATCTTGCTTGTGCAAAGTTAAAATGCAATTCTTTAACTCAAGTAAAAAAAACAACATCTAAAGTGGATAAAAACCAGCTTAACAAAGCACAATCACAAGACAAGTGACTAACCTGTAGTTGTTTCTTGCTGGGCTCGTGCTCCAGTACAGCGAGGAGAGAGACGGCAGATTCCAGCCATTCTCTGACTCTCTCCAGCTGCTCCTGCACTCGTTCCCTCTCTTCCACCTCTGTTCTTACTGCCCTCAGACCCTGAGAGCTACGTTCCTTTAGACTGCAGGACACACAAGTTAAAAAAAGACATGTTGAACTCTCAGTCCAAGTCCATACTGCAAAATGGATGCTAAAAAGGTAGGAAGAAAAAAAAACCCTGATATACGTCCCTGAAACCATATATCAGTATGTTCTCATTCAGCATAAAATAAAACTTTCATATGTGTAAATTAAATATAATCCAAATATTTAGCTGAGACTGTGTGCGGGTTAATGGTCTCAAGTATGTATGTGTTCATTTGGTCTCTCTGGGATGGGACGTTGGCGTCCAATGCTGACCTACTTCAGTCTGTAAGCCCACTGATTTGGAATTAACATGTGGACCACTGGGACATGGAGTCCACAATGGGAAATATTAGGCAAAAGACAATCATGTTTCGAGAAAATCAAAATTTAAGATAACCTTAAAATAGGAAGAAGGAAAAGAAAACTGAAAAAAGCTATTAGCAATACGCTAAGTAGATGCCTGACCTATGGTAACGTTCTTGCCAGGCTTGAAGCTCTTGGCACAGCTCAATGGGCGGGGCCTGTTCCAGGTCCGGGGGAACGCCAAGCAACCTTGCAGCTCTTAATTCCAAAGCGGAGAGAGCTCTTTGTTCACAGTCCAGTCTGTCCTGGTACTGGGACCAGAAGAGCAGCAGTTCCTGCAGCTCATCACCAGTCAGATTCTCTCTGCTGCTATCTGGAAGTTCTGCATCCATTTGCTCCAACACAGTGGCTGCCTGCTCCACCTGCAGAATGACAGCAAAGGAAAACAAGCTCAGTTTTTCTTATCTGCACAACAGTCTTTCATAGTGTAATGTTTTATTTAGAGTAAGCATGCCGAAACGAGTTTCATTGTTATTTCACAGGCATGTTGATATACAGAAGGTAAAATACCCACTATCAGATTTGGTCATGGCACTTACACTCCTTGTGACACTGCTCCACTCTGCTTCCAATTGTTCTGAGCGTGTCTGCAGATCATTGGCACAGCGCTGCAATCTTGCCACCTGACCCCAGATTGCGCTCACGGCATCCTCCCTGTTGGCTCTGCACCCATACAGTGAACACCACTCTCTCAGATTCTCCAGTTTTCCAGGAAGCATGGCAACCTCTTCCACTAGAGCCTAAAAAGATGAGAAATACTTAAATGTACTAGCCTACCAGCAAAACCATATGCATCTCATTGCATCAGTTGGCAAAACACAGATAAATGATACAGATCTTTAGGTTATAAGGGGAACTAACGTTAACAAATGCTAGTCTTTCTACAGGAAAGGGTTTTATTTGACTTTACCCTGAGTTTCTGTTGCTGGTCTTTGCAGTCTTTGTGTGAAGTACATTTTTTGGAGGCACACTGTGATAGCAATGTTTCTAAGTCTCTCACTTGCTGGCAAAGCTCCTCGTAGCATTTACGAGAATGTTTCTGGCACTCAACACACCTTGTTATGGACAAGAATTTGGTTAATTTCAACATGGGGTATTTGTAATTTGATGACAGAAAAAGTTCTTATACAGTATAATACGCTTTCATACTATTGTATGTACCTCTTCAAAGATTCTACATGAATTTGAGCCTGGGCCTTGAGGGTTGATAGCCTGACCAGGAGCTCGCCTAGAACCTGCGTGTGCAGAAATTCAATCTTCTGTGGCTTGAAGCAGGGATGCTGTGGGGTTTGAGTTTGAAGCTGTGAAACATGTGATTGGATCTCTGTGTCTAGGGTCAGTAAAGCGTGCTGTGCGTCTTTGAGTCTTTCTGAGCAGCTTCTAGCAGAGCAGACTGAGGGAAGGAGGACCAATGCAGCTCTTTGGAGGAACCGAATGGTATCAATCACTGCTTTGGTGTAATTATTCAACAGTTCTTTAGCTTTAGTTAGGCTCACCTGAAAAGACAGCAGAAATCTTCCTTGACTTTATCTGCTTAAATGTATATTTTCAACAAAGATTCTGCATATGATGTTTCTGAACATTTGCACCAACTATATTGCAAAGGAACAGATCAATGAAACTGTGTCAAAGATGAAACAGAGTAAACTCACCATTTGTTGATCACACTTTTCCAAAACCATATCCTTCAAGCAAGTAAGCTGTTTGGAGTCCTGTGGAGGTTGAGCTCCAATCTTTTTTTCAAGAAACTCAAGCACTCGCATTCTAGATTCTACATTCTTTCTGAGTACAAGGCACGTTCTTAGTTGTTTTTCAATCTCTGCCTCTTTTGGTTCAATACTACAAGGCTTTTCCAACTCCTCATTAGTGTCTTTGAGAAATTGCTTAAGTACTCTTTTTTCTGATGGATAATGAATTTGTTTTAGCAGATCCCATTCCAATATCTGAAGATTATTGCTCACTGCCAATTCTGAGGTTTTGAGACTTTCCAGGATTTGTTTAAATCTTGCTTGTTCAGTAGAGAGCTGAGATGGATATAGATCTGCTACGATTTCCTGCAGTTCATCCATTGTTTCCTCAAACAAGAGTTTTATTAAAGAGATTTGGATCAGTAGGGCCTGACAGGCTCTGTAGCGTTCCTCTTTGTTGATGCTCTCATCTTTGGTCCTTGGGATCTGAGCCTCCATTTCCTCCTTGACATCTTCAATGCACCGACTGAAGCTCAAGTACCTTTCATGAGGTTGTGATTTGAGATCCAAATCAATCATTTTGTGGTACAGTTCAGTAATAACACATAACAGCTCTCTTCTCTTGTCCTCTGAACAGAGACTGACTTGCTCAGTCTGAGATTTGCGCTCCACAATCATCTGTTTGAAGGGTTCAATAACAGAGAGGGTATCCTTGGTAACAGGAAACCTGTGTCTTTTTACATCAGTTAACATTTGTCTCAGGCTGTTCTCAAGAGATGATACCTTCCTCTGAGAGGATTCTTGGCTCTGTATGACATCCATAACCTTTTGGCAACATGCTTTCTCATAGAGAACAATACTCTTGATGTCCTCTTGAAGGCTGGTGAGTTTCTCATAGAGTTGAATATTCTCTGAGACACTTAGCTCTGATGCAATGTCTCTGCTTTTCATCAGAAGGGCTTCAGTGACAGCGGACTGCTTTTCTGCCTCTCCAAGAGTGTCCTGGATCTGCCTCAACCTGCGATCCAGGTCTGCCACACTCAAACTTTGATAATCCTCTCTTCTCAAAGCTTCCCTCTGCAGATGTCCAACCACCCAGGAATCAATATCTGCTATCTGCTCTGACATCTTCTCCCGGGTCTGAAGACCTGACTCCATCTCACGAACTGCCTCAGCCAGTTTTCCTGCTGCTGATTTGGACAAATTCTCTAGGACATTCAAGGATGAGGTCACCATCGAAACATCAGCCTCATCTAGGTCACAAATCAGCTCAGTGACTTCCTCAACCAAAGCCTTCAACTGGGTTTGCTTGGAGCTCATCTCGGACTGCAATTTCTTTAAATCTTTAATCTGTCGATGGACTTCTTCTGGAAGCAAAGACAGCTTTTTCTGTCGTCCTTTGACATCACATTCTGTCTGCTTGGCCCAAGCCAGAGCATCTGTCATCACCTTTACAATTTTACTTAATGTTGGGTTGCTGCTGCTAGGGGTTGCAGCTGCTAACTTTTCACCCATTTGATCCTGCTGATCTTTTATATGCTGAAGGTCCTGCTCTATGCTGGATGTCTCTGCCTTGAATTGGAATTCCTGGGCAAGTGCCTCAGAGGTCTGCTGAAGGTACAGGTACTGCTGATGGGTGAAAGTGAGATTAGCATTTAAAGTCATAATTTCTTGAGCTTTCTTGCCATCCCATAAAACTGGTGGGGTTTTTGATGCATCCAAGGTCTTCTGAATATTCTCGAGATGGTCTTTTAAGGCACTGACCTCTTGAATAAGGCTGCCACTTTCTTTAGCATAAGCATTGACCTTGTAAAGAGCAATTTCTGCATCCTTCTCCAGCACCCTCCACTGGCTTTGCAAGTTGTTTTGCTGTATTTCAGCTGCCTGTCTCTGAGGCACACTGAGGTGGGAGGACAGTTTTGCATGAGTCTGAATTAACTCACCGAGAGATGTCCTTTCCTGCTCCATGTTTCTCAAGAAAGAGCGTAGCCTTTCCTCCTCGGCAAAACTGCTCACGGCTGGAGAGCTAGAGATATAAAATATGCATTTATGGGTCTTTAAATTCTAATAAGTGGTTTAGTGCAACAATAAACTTACTCAGTGTTTAATGTGATAAGTACAGAAACAACAAGCTTAATAGTAAATACGTACGATCTCAGTGCCGCACTCTCAATTTTGAGTTTCTCCAGAATAGCTTTGACTTTCTGGGTCTGTCTGTCAAAATCTGCAACCATCTGTAGTTGAGCTTCCTTGGAGTGAACCGAGCTTGCTGCATCCCACAAAGCTGCACTCCACTGGGCACTCAGCTGTTGCATCCCCTCGGGGTCATGAACTGTGCCATTAGTGCCACTGCCAATGTCTCCATTAGCCTGGTCTTGCCTAGACAGCATAGATACCTGTCTCTGGGCACACCTTCTACATTCCTAAAATAATATAACAATACAAGTACTAAATGAGCTCACCTCCCAACATAACTCAGGATTCTAATGCAAAACAAAAATCAGCAACACTACTTTTACATATTAAATATTGTCCCACCTCAGCCTCCTCTAGTTGTTTGGCCATGTCTGTGGAGTTCAGAGCAGCTGGGCAAGTTCGGAGGTCCAGTAAATGGAACACTAGCCTTTTTAACCGAGCTTCAAGATCAGTGCTGGAAGTGTCAAGAAGTTTCTTGGTACTTTCATGTGGTATACCCTAAAAAAAAAAAAAACCTTTTTGAAAGAACAGTTGACATAATGCACATTTAATTTTTGTTTATGTTTATTCTAAACTTATGTCTTGACAGTTTAAATCACAGTATTGAAAGATTATGTGTACTTAAATTCAGATGCATTTACATTGTGATTGTGCCTCAGATGCAATCAACTGAAACTCTGTTTGCAAAAGTGTGACCCAAATAACCCATATAATTAGCCCATAGGTCAGCATCAGGTCAGTGCATCATGAGCTCTCCATGAGAGAGGTCCTATCAGGTCATCATGAGGTTCATTGGCTCTCCATGGGGTGTTATTGTATTGTTTGTAGCACATTTGTTACCAGGTATAAAGGTCTGGTCTCACAGACATTACCTGGGGTTAAGATTCTTTGAAGGACTACATGGTAACATCACTGCTGAAGAACTGCTACACCACTGCCTTCAATACATTTTTCTCCCCACAAGAACTTTGGTCAAGCTTACTTATTTTATGTATTAGAGAAATCTAGTACATTGGCGAGCCACCCAAACGATTGTTCAGCCAAATACAGCAAAATCTAACAGTATTTTGAATTTAATGTTATAGTGGTTAACATTTTTAAATATTACCTCCATGAGCACACTTTTTGGTCCCTTTTCAGTCATTTTTTTGATCTCCATGAAGATATCCTTCATTGTGGGTCCCTCTGGCTCCCCCTCTTCCTCTGCTGGACTCTCAGTGATTTTAGGCATGAGACCAACTTGGGGAGAAACATCCACATCTTGATCTTGTGGCTGCAACACATAAAAGATTAGCAGAGTAAACTAATTGCTGAACTGAAGACTAGCAACTGCATTATCTCAAATACAGTATAAAAGACTGCAGATGCATAACTGAGATATTAAAGCAGTTAATGAAGTACATTTAATCAAACTCAATCAACAACAAAAATCAGAAAGCCATTCCCAACATTTACAGTGCCATAAGGAAGAGGTGATGGAACAGAAAAAAATGTTTATGCCCTCTCTGTAAGCCTGACCATTTTTAAAGAATTAAAGAGTATTTATTCACTGATAGAGGGCAGTAATGACTGCATGCATGGAGCTGAATACAAATAGATACATATAGGTGGGTTATTCAGGAGCTACAGATGTTAATTGAAACTTTGTTAGAAGATTGCTTTTTCCATCAGAGTTCAAACCTAATGCAATAGCTCTGCTTGCTAATTTAGACAATTGGACTGTTGAAAAAAAAGGGGATTCATTTCACCCTACAAATCAAATATCGAGACATCCTCAGTTGAGGACTTCCATTACAGTCCAGCATGCAGATAACATGCAGATTTGTTCCTTTTGGTGGAATCATGCACATTAAAGTTACCTGCATTTCACTGATGTTCTCTGTTTGATTGATTACACTTATGGGTTCTGGGACCAAGGTATCAGAGTCCTGCCCCTCCTCTTGATGCTCCTGACCAACCAATGACTTTGTATCATACTCCTTTTTATCTTCCTGTTTAGTTATTGCTTCAAAATCAGCTTTCACTTCCAGTCTTACAAACACAGAAACATTTTCATTGTCCGAACTTTCTTTGTCGCTGGTTGTTGGAGTTGGTATGACCTGTGGCACTTCTGGCGCTAATGGAGCTCTGTCAGCTTCTATTTGATCTTTCTTTCGACTGGTTGCTGGAGTTGGTAGGGTTTCCTCAGGTTGACTTTCAGGAGTGGTTGAAACCATCTCAGTTTCCACTCGGCTGTCTTTTTGCCTCAGAGGTGGAGTTGGGTTATATATGCTCATATCTTCTTTTAGATTAGAAGCACCTGTGACGATTTCTTTTTCAACTTTGCTATCCTTCCTTCTTGTTGGTGGTGTGGGTTTCACAAAGGTCTCTTTCTCTTCTTGGTTTTTGCAAACTGCCACATCACTTTCTACCTGACTAATTTTGCGTCTGACAGGTGGAGTTGGTTTAACAGTGTGCTCTTCCACATCTTTATGTTCAACAGTTTGCTGATTATCACTTTTTCCTAATTCAGCACTGTAAAATAATGTGTCACTCTCTGGCTTATCCTCGCATCTTCCTGATGGTGGAGTTGGTTGAGGCGCCAGATCAACTGATAATCCTTTATCTTCACCTTTTTCTTTACGTCGTCTTGCTGGTGGTGTGGGTTGGGTCTCCAGATCAAGCGATAATCTTCTATCTTCTTTTTCTTTACGTCGTCTTGCTGGTGGTGTGGGTTGGGTCTCCAGATCAAGCGATAATCTTCTATCTTCTTTTTCTTTACGTCGTCTTGCTGGTGGTGTGGGTTGGGACTCTAAATCAAGTGAAAACCTCTCACTTCCCATTTTCTCTCTACGTCTTCTGCTTGGTGGGGTGGGAAGAACTTCTCCCTCTATCTGTGATTCAATATTTAAAAATAACCTATCACCTTTACGTCGTCTGGTGGGAGGTGTTGGTGTGACATCCACCTTGTCTAATTGGACCTCAGTTTCACCCTCATTTTGTCTTCTGACTGGTGGTGTTGGTTTAGGCTCAGCTTCTATGGATTGCCCTTTATTAACCAATGTCTTTTTTGACACTTCCTCTTCAGGGATATGCATGGTGTCACCAGATTTCTTCTCTGATGTTGTTGACATTCTTACCTTGTTTGATTGGACATCGGTTTCACCTTCATTTTGTTGCCTGACTGGTGGTGTCAGTATAGGTTCCCCTTCTAGGGATTGTGTTTTATCATCTGATAGAGTCATCTTTATCTCGTCTTCTACAATGACACTGATAGCCTCTGCACCTTCAGGTTTCTTCTCTGATGTTGTTGAAATATTCACCTTGTTTGATTGGACAGCAATTTTCTTTTCGTTTCTTTGCCTGACTGGTGGTGTTGGTTTAGGTTCAGCTTCTATAGAATGTGCTTTTTCATCTGATGGGGTCTTGTTTGTCTCTTCTTCTACAATGAAATCTGCAGTGGCTCCAACTTCATGTTTTTCCTCTGGTGTCAGTGAGACATTAATACTTTCGGATTGACACTCAGTGTCCCAGTCATTCCATTCCTTAATGACATATAATGCTTCTTCACATTCAGTTTTCTCCTCTGGTGATACATCCACCTTTTCTGACTGGACATCAGTTTTGTGGTCATTCCTTTGCTTGATTGAAGGTGTCAGTTCAGGTTCAGCCACTATGGATTGTGCTTTATCATCTGATGATGTTGTATTTGTCTCCTCTTCTACAATGATATCCATGGCCTCTTCACCTTCAGCTTTCTCCTTTTGTGTTAAGACATTTACCTTGTTTGGCTGGGCGTCAGATTTACTCTCATTTCTTTGCCTGACTGGTGGCGTCATTTTAGGTTCAGATTCCATGAATTGTGCTTTTTCACCTGATGGGGTCTTGCCCATCTCTTCTTCTACAATAACATATGTGACCTTAATAACTTCAGGTTTCTCTTCTGGTGTTAGTGAGACATTACTTCTTTCGGGTTGTACCTCAGTGTCCCAGGCAATCAGGAGCTTGATTGGAGGTGTCAGTTTAGGTTCAATTTCTTTGGATTGTGCTTTACCACCTGATTGGTTCTTTGTCTCTTCTCCCAAAATGACGCCAATGGCTTCTTCACCTTCAGGTTTTTCCTCTATTGTTGTTGAGACATGCACTTTGTTTGTTTGGACCTCAGTTTCTACCTCATTTTGTTGCTTGACTGGAGGTTTAAGTTTAGGATCAGTTTCAATTAATTGTGTTTTATCATCTGATGGGGTCTTCTTTGTCTCTTCTTCTACATTACCATGCATGACTTCTCCAACTTCCCTTGTTGGTAGGTTTTGGTTTGCTTCAACCGGTTCAGATTGTTCTGATGCTTCTAAAGGTCTGTTTGTGCTGGCTAGAACCCCTGTTTCTGTTTTATCAGATTTTGCCTCATATTCTGTCTCCATTCTTTCTGACACCGACCGTTCTGATCCCTGAATCTGTGCCTCAGAGGGTTCCCTGGAAAGAGTAGCTTCATGAGCATGACGTCTCTGCATCTCCACCCCCTCAGGGAAGTCTTGAGTAATATATCCGCGTTGGATTTCACGTGGACCATTATTTGTAGTCCAGTTCCTCTCTCTGTCAGCAATTGCAGCATTTGGTCCATTGTTCCAAGAAAATGTTCCAATACCTCTGGCAGCAGCATCTCCACTACTGTGTACTTCAGCAGGTGGACCAGCTGTTGTCTGCACTTGTTCGTTAGTGTCTATATCAATGAGCTGTGACTGTTCTGGCTCTATTGCTGAACTAATTTCTAAAACATTCACCATAATTGGCTCATTAAGAGAAGACTGGATGCTAATTGGTTCTATGGCTGCTTCAGAAATTTCAGCTTCTGGAGGGGCCATTGTTTCATGCTCTTGCTTGCCCAGTGTCATCTCATTTAAAATAGAACCAGCAGAGGCTGCTTTCACTGTAGCACCATCTGAGGGTGTGTGGGAGTGTGTGTCTACACTAACTATGTGTACTGTATCCAAATCTAAAATGAGCGCAGCAACCTTTTTGGTTTGTGCTTCACCTTCTCCATAAGGTTCCTCTTGAGAATGTGAAATATATGAGTCCTCTTCCTCTTTATCTGGCTCTGCAGTCACTGCTTCAGTGTTCTCTCCCTCTACTTTATCAGCAACTGAACTTTCAACTACAATAGACAACTGGCTTTCTTGTCCTTCTGTGCTAAGACTCTCAGTGCTGTGTAATTCCAAGTCAGTGTCTTGCACTGTGGTTTCCAAGCTGTGGACAGCTGCAGATGAGGGAATTGGCATCTTTTCATGTGCAATCTCATCATTATCAGACTTTGTTTCCAAAGAAACAGAAACAAAATTCTCACTTTTAGATTCATTTGCACCATGGCTGCTTGTAGGAACAGCAGATTCATATACTCTTGCTGCTGGTTCAGGTAGCATCTCTGTGGTTAACGGAACAGTTGTTTTGACTTCAGTCTGTTCAGTGTCAATCTTTAATATTGGTAGTGATTTTCTTGCAGCGTGAATTTCTGTTTCAGTTGAAGATTCTGAGATTACACATGGAGGGATCTTGCTGTCAAGGTATTCAGATGGCTGTACCTTAGCTTGTTCACTGTCACCTGTCATTTCAAAGCTCTCCGTGATAAACGATGAAGAAGAAACAAATTCCGACTGTTCAGACTCCTTTGCTGATGGTGTCACAGCAGAAACCTACAAATTATATTTATCATATATACGTACATATTACTGCACATAATAGCCAGATACAACAAAAGTCTAGAAATATATTTGTATATGAATATGTAAATTTGTGAAATTGCACCTGCGAATCCACCTGAATGCTTTGAGCTTCCAGTGACAACCTCTGAACTTCCTGCTTCACCTTCTCCTCCAGATTCTGAAACGCAGACTCATCTGTTTAAACCACTACACATTTCATGTGAAGCATCATCCCACAGAATTGAGCCATACTCACCTTGAGCTCCTGTTTAAGGTCATTCATGTGAGTGTCTGCTTCGTTTAATGCTTTCGTTCCGTCTCTTTCAAGTTTGCCAGCCAAGTCAGGGCCCAGACATTCCCTCAACAGTTCTTTATGGGACAGCGCCACCTGCAGGCTTTTACACAGTCTCACACCTTCCTCAATTGCAGCCTAAGGAGTAAAAATGTTGCGTGTTTAAACGGTAACAGCAAACTTACTCGTTCAAATGGACCAGTCTAGTGCAGGTGCAGTGTTTTGTTGTGTACTCACATACTGTATGCAAATTAAGACACAAACACACCTGCATGGATGTGGCTGAGCTGCAGGGAGGATTTGCATGTGTCAGGTTCCATGACTGTATATTTTGTAAGGCCTGTCTCACACACTGCACAGTGCTGTCTGCACAGTCATTCTGCTTTTCTGACAGTTTCGACCGCAGACTGAGGAAAAAAACAATAATGATGATTCTCCAAAATGCACTTCTGATAAATAAATATTACACTGTAATATAATACAACATTTTACTATAATGGGCAAACATGCTATCAATTGTACAATTAAATAAACAGGATTCAGATTCAAATAGATTCAAATTCATTATTACAGACATTTTTGCTTTGAACAGCTTGATATTTTATTTCATTTGTTAGGCAACATTTCTGTATGTACCGGCAATATTGTTGTGTAACTGTGTCCACAATAGAAAGGACATTACTAGGGGGCTCCTCTTCTGGTGGGACCATTCGGAGGGCCTGGCCAAGCTCACAAACTTTGCCCTCTAAAGACTCAAGGTCTCTCTCAAATGTCTATGAGAAATATAATTAAAAAGAAAAATAGTCAGGTTTGAATTTATTGACTTTCTCTAAAGTTTCAGAACAAACCAACTGAACATGGATTAATTAATATTCTCCCACAATACCTTGAAGCTATGCCAGTTCTCCTGTAGCTGGCTGACATTCTGGCTACCCACCAGAAATCCTAAAGAGTGGTCCTGAACACGCAGCTCATTCAGAAGACTCTCTGCTTGCTCTCTGAGAATCTGTGCTCTGCCAGCAAGCCTGAGGTCAATATCACTCAGTCTGGCCTCACACACAGCTAACCGTTCCCTCATCTCTTTCTCAGAGGACTCACAGAGGTTATGAAGATGGCTGACCTCTAAGGTCAGGGCATCACAACCTCCTGGAGTGCAAAGATCCATCAGGGAATCTTTAACGGCAACCAGATCTTTAATTTCTCTCTTCTCCCTGTCTATGGTCTGAAGAAGAGCCTACAAAATTATAATAAAAAATATATAATTTTATTTATTAACAGGTTTGCCAAAAAACTGAAAAATCTATTAAATCTTATATATATATATATATATATATATATACACACATTGATAGAGCTTTGCAACCCATGACGTTCAGTGGGCAAAGCACCGAAACCTTTGACTTGCTCACTCAGCCAATCCTGTGCTACAGTGTGCTGCTCAACTAACTGAGCACAAACTCGCTCTCTCCGGATTTCCTCTTCGAGATTTACACAAAGCTCCTTCTCAAGCACACATAAAAAAAAGAATGAAGAGAAGAAGAATGTCATACATGTAAATCAAGTTTCTACTATCTATTAGTCACGATTAGTCAGAAATATTTAGCACAGCACACCTCTACAGCCTTACCGTAAGATCTTTGATTAACTCAGGTATGCACTCCTCTATGGTGGCCCAGGATGGATCAATCCAGCTGGAATCACGGGTCAGCTGGCTCATCTCCCTCCCAAGTGCTCGGACAGCAGACAGAGATGGGGTCAGGGCTCTGGTACGATCTAGCAGACTCTTGGCTTGCTCCAATGTGTGCCTTCGATCCCCTAAACCAGGCCAGGGGAAGTGCCGCGGCAGTTCAGCAGTCTGCTGTTTCACCTGCTCCAGACGAGACTGAAGCTGGTCCTTCTGACACTGACAGGACACCAGACGTTCCCTTACACTTTTCAGCAGACTGCAGAATGAGGAGTAATATATGATATGATATGAGTACATGGGCTCGGAATATATTTATAAATATGATTATTTGCAATTCATTTCAATCATCTAGCAGTGATTTGTGCAATTACTTTTTACATACAGAATTGTCATATCAAACCTATGCAGCTCCTGTGCTTGCTGCAGTGTTGTCTTCCACTCCTCCTCTACATTTTTCATCTTCTTAATGAGAGAATGTCTTGCATCTTCATCAAGATCTTCATGGTTAAAAAGACGATCTACTGTCCATTTCAGGGCTGCAATCTTAGAGTTGCCCTCAGAGTGCAGACTTAGAATTGCCTGAAAGACAGAGAGGTATGCTTGTTCTTGACTGTCACATTTTTGTTGATCATGTGCAATGCAGTTGAACTTCTTTTAATAAGTGATTTACTACAGACATTTAATTTCTTCTTCTTTTTTTCCATATTGTACAACTTACTTGTGCTTTGCTTAGTCTCTCCTCAATCTGCTCCAGTGTACCATGAGTGCTTTCCCCCAGTAAGTCCAGGCCATCTTTCTGGTTCTTCACCCAGGTCCAGGTGCTCTCCTCCTGGGTACAGACATTCTGAAGCTCCCTCGCAAGAGAATCCTGGAGCTCCGCCTGGTTCTTTAATTCTTGAGCACTTGCCAGGACCTTCTTCCATTGTTCTTCAATGGATCTCAGGTTCAGCTGGATTTTCAGTTTTCTTTTCTCCTCCACGCCTTCTCGAGAACACAAACCCTCTGCTTTCCTCCTCAGGTTGGCTAGCTTGTAATCCCCCTCTGATTCTGAGTTCAGGATGGCCTAGAGTAAACAAACCATGCCAGCGAGTAAGCCAGACTGTTTTCTTTAAGTACATATTTGGTGAAGGTTGAATATCACTCTTTGTCTCTTACCTGAGCTCCATGCATTCTCTCTTGTAACTGAGTCTCTTGACCTAGCAATTCAATCTTCAGATGCTGCTGTTTGAGCCAAGATTGAGTGTTCTCCTCCTCTTCTTGAAGATCCTGAAGGTCCTTAGAAAGAGAATCCTCAAGTTCTGATTGGTTCTTCAGTTCGTGAGCCTGCATCAAAACTCCCATCCACTCTTGCTGTACATTTTGTAATGTATGTTGGATTGTCTGACATTTGTCCTCCTCTAGATCTTCACAGGAACATAGATTCTCTCCCTTCGTCTTTAGGTCAGAAAGTTTATAGTCCCCCTCAGATCTATGAGTTAGTAGTGCCTAAAAACCAAACAAAAAACAAAAACAAGATATTCATATAGAACATAATTTTTTTTACCATGCTTTTATTTTTCATGCAATCACGTAAGCCATCAAAGCTTTTTCCCAGGTAAGTAACAAAACCTGTCCCATCACTTCATGTACAAATCATATTTGTGTAGCCTTACATTTTGAATGCTTAAGATGTGTTGGCTACAATTTTTAGTCGTCTGATATAATCCAATGTATGCCCTGAGCAGTTGCTCCATTTTCAATATTACATTTTATCATAAATTAGGCTTACTCACTCACTGTCCTTTCCCAAGCCTCTCACGTACAAAAAACATTTAAGGGTTTAATTTTCCTCTCTATTACCTCAACTCCAATAAGCCTCTCTTGAATGGAAGATGTCACATGAAGGGAATCCAGGGTCCCTCTGAGATGTCTAATCCAGGATCGAGTGTCCTCTCCCTGATCACAGAAAGTTTGTAACTCTCTGTAGAGAGATTCCTCATGCTTGACCTGGTTCTTGAGCTCCTGGGCAAGTTGTAGCACTGTCCTCCACTCCTCCTCTACTGCTCTCTGGGTTTGGTCAATGTGGCTCCTCCTCTCATTCTCAAGCTCTTCATAAGAACATAAATGTTGTCCTTGTCTCTGTAAACTGGCCAATCTGGAATCAGCTTCATCACCAAGATCTATGACAGCCTAGAGGGTGTACAGACATTACTCCCAACACAGTATGTGCACTGCTAGCAACCTTTACTCGGTTTTACCTGGGTTAGAATCATGCAAGAGCAATGAAAAGATTTTAATAAAACAAAATGTTTTCCTCTGTCTTTACCTGTACTTTGTTAAGTTTTTCACGTGGCTGAAGCTCCTTCCCCAAAGAGTGCAGCATTTGCAGTTGTTCTCTCACCCAGGATTGGATGCTCTCTTCCTGGGCCTGTAGATCTTCTAGTTCCATATTGAGAGTGTCTTGGAGTTCTGCCTGATGTTTTAGTTGTTGAGCCATATCCAGAACTCTTTTCCACTCATCTTCAATGTTTCCAAGGGTGTGAATGAACTCCTGTCTTCTGGTGTCCTCCAAAATCTCATAAACACATAAAGCATCACACTTTTCTTTCAAAGTCACGAGTTTAGCCGCACCCTCAGGACTAAGATTAAGAACAGCCTTAAAACAGAGGGAAAAAAACAATTTTATTTTAAATACACTGAGGATATTCATCATTCCTTTCAGTGTAAGATGTTTGACCAGTTGTTCCCTCAAAATACAGCTAAAAAATCCAAACAATGAGGGTTAGGGGGCCCACCTGAGTATGTATGTGTTTTTCCTGCATTGGTGTGTCTGTCCCCAAGTACTCAAGTCCTTGCTTTACATTTATGATCCAGGCTCTGATCTGTTCTGCATTGGTTTGGAATGTTTCAATTTGATCATCAAGGGTCTTGTGGACTTGGACCTGATTCTCCAAAAGAATCCCCAGGCTGTGGTATCGGTCTATCAGGGTCTCTGTGTCTCTAAGGAGAGGGTCTCCCCTCAGGCCACGCATCCTTACAGCAGATAACAGGTCATTGAATGCCTCCACACGACCGCTGTGGATTAAGGGTGAAAGTAAGAGTAATGGAGGTTTTATATAAAATAAAAGACTGCACAATTAATCAAAATAAAATTGAAGTCATGATATGACTTAGTTAGATTATCAAACTGCAAAAGGCTGCAAATTAGTCAATGATGAAGTCCGGCACGGTGTTCAGTTGCATGCAAGCAGCTCATGATGCAGTGCTTTCAGCATCTTGGAGTGGTTGGTTTTCCAGAAGAAAAAAAAACACGCTGCTCAACATGAACTCCATCTCTGCATGTGCTGCAAGTTTGGCTCACTTATAGTGTGCATTTGGGAATGCAAAATCCGTCAGGATCACTTGATTTTTGTATTCAGTCAATTTCAAACATTTTGTGGACAGAATTTTAGCATTTTACCAGATTTGTACTAAGACTTAATTTTTGACAAACCATAAACTTGTGGTCAACTAAAAACAGAAACTTAAAAGTTCTCCTTGCAGTTTTCCACCAAATTAAAAACTTGAGGTTTTAAAATCTGACATAAATATTAGTATTATACCGTAAACTGTAAAATAAAATTATTGTAATTAAATATTTATTATCATTGTATAATATAATTGTAGCTACAAAAGTTATATATTTCTCTTTATTTTTCTAATTATAATAAAACATATATTTTTTTAATTAATATTATTATTACCACAAATTATAAAATGAAATATTTTATTTACCTTCTTGTCACGTGACCATTAACTAACATCAGAGAACCATGAACATGCAAATGTGTTGTTATATTATTTCATTATAGTTTAATCTGTCTAAAAGTCTAAAAAAACTAAAGTTATAAACAAAAATACAAAATTAACATTTTGAATAGTGAGTGGTACCTTTCTTTAAGAAAATCCTCTTGGATTTGCCTTAGTTTTTCTGTCTGTTCTGGCACTTGCTCTCTCTGCTGCAGCCAGTCCTTCAATTGATTATGTTCCTCTTGCAAACTAAATACAAAGACATGAATGAACTGAAACAACAGTAACAACCAATAGCAATGATGAGAACTTCTTCCATGTACCTGTTGAGGTTGTGGAGGATGTCATCTAGCTGTTTATGGCGTCCCTGGCAGTGAGCCCTGAGTGTGGCCAGTTCTCCTTCCTGTTCCTGATGCCATGTAGAGAGCAAAGCTTGAGCCTCAGTAGGGAGCTTTGCCTGTCCACCTCGCTCAAACCTCTCCTTCAACTGAGCCAGACGCTGTTCTCCTTCTTTAGAGGCCAGGAAACTCTGAAGAAAACACAAACTGTTCAGTACTGTTGAACTAAATTTGAACCCTTTTGACTAAGGCTGCTATCACCTGGTGACTCTTGCCATTGGATTGCTGTCCCTGCAATCAGTGTATTGAACAGCAAATCTCTTTGACTGAAAAGTATTTCCAAAATTTCCTAGCTACAATGGAAATCATAATCATAGTGTTGGGACCTCACTGTTACTCACTGTCAGTCTCTGCATATATGTTTCTACATCCTGCTTTCTCTCAGGGTTCTCAAAGCATTCATTCACAGCGAGCTGCTCATCCTGCAGCCATTCCTCAAATGACTGAAACTCTTCTGCAGAGAACCAATAGGACAAATGGACAAAACTCAAATCACTTTTTCCACTTTTACATTGTTTAATTGTAGCAATGGAGCAATGTAGAATGCGGTTTCTCAAACCTTTAATAGTCTGAAGGAAGCTTTTCTCCCCTTGTTCCTTCTTCTGACGAATCAGCTCCCGTGTTTCCGCAATGCTGTCTTTGAGGTGCTTACTACGATTAGTCAGCTCCTCCAAGGCCTGTGATCCAGTAATGCTGGACATGAGATTGATTTCCTTCAGCAAAGATTCAGCCTGCCCCTCCTGGTCCAAAAGCTGCTCACACAAGTCCTACAAACAGAAAATAAAATCGGTTATATACCAAAACAGTGTGTTTAGGCATGTCTGCTTATCATACCTGTAAATGTGCATCCAGCTCTGCGCGATCCTCTGAACTGATCATATCTACTGAGGAGTGTATATTCTTCACAGATGATTGATAGGTGTCAATCTTTTCTATCAGATGAGCTTTAACTGTAAGGAGCTCCTGGAACACTTCAGTGCAATCGGAGAAGAGTTCCTTCACCTGCTCCATTTTTTTCCTCAGGTTTGTTTCCATTACCTAAGGAAGACAATGTGTGTGTGTGTACATTTAAAAGTAGGAATAATAAGGAATCAGGAAAGTCTAATAATTTAATAAACAGTAAAAGATGCACGTTCACCTGTAATTCAAGAGGAGATTCTTTGCTCTGCAGCAGTTCCTGGATCTCTAGTAACTTCCTATGGAAGTGTTCAAGGTTGTCCTCCTGACACTGAATCTCATTCTAGTATACACACAGAAGACCCCATGGAATCAAAATGACATTTTGTGACTTTTAGTCCATGCCTGTTAATATTTTGAATCCTTTTAAGACAGATTAAGTATTTTTTTGAAGACACACCTTCATGCTGGCAACCTCCGTCTCACTGCTGAAAGGGTGAGACTCTGAAAAGATAATGAGTTTAGTAGAAGTCCAGCTGTCCACCTCTCCACCCAGAACCAGCTGTTTCTCCCACAACTCCAGACCCACACGCAGGTTATCCATGTAACTATCTGTCTTCTCTGACACCTGCCAGAGAGACACACAGATTTACCAAGAATCTAAAATGACTGAACAAAATGTGATGCATGTGAATAGATGTTTTTCATATCCTCACATCCAGCCATGAGTCCACCAAAGCATCTGCCTCCATCTCAAATGGAGTTTCCGAGCAATCAGGAATTTTCTTCAGCTGGGACTGCAACTGTCTGCACACAGATCTGAACTCCTCCATCTTGGGTCCAAGGCTTTTAAGATCCTCCTTTATGCCAACGACCTACAATATACAGACAGAAACATTACTAGAAATAGAAAAATTGAAATAGAAACAGTATGAGATAAAATTTAAAAAAATGACTGTGGTGGTGGTAGTCTGATGGTTAAAGATCTAAGCTACTCTAACTAAGTAGACATAACCAGACTTTTTTAATCCTGCCTTTGAACACGAGCACTTATTACTACTATTGTTACTTAATTGTAGACTACACATTGATAATAAATTACCTAAAGTTTTATTCATAACTCTACAAATAAATGTACTGCAGGCCATGGAGGATCTGAACATATAATCAAATTAATTTGAAAATTAAAATGATTTAAAATTAATTTAACATTGGCACTGATTTGTCAGAACAAATTGGAAAGAGAAGCCTCTTTGAGATTAATAAAAGTGAAGCCCTTTCTGTACATGCAGATGAAGCAAATTGTGATTAATGCTGATATAAAATTAAAGGGATAGTTCACCCAAAAATGAAAGTTCTGTCATTAATTACTCACCCTCATGTTGTTCCAACCTGCAAGACCTTTGTTCATCTTCGGAACACAAATTAAGATATTTTTGATGAGATCCGAGAGCTTTCTGACCCTGCATAGACAGCAAGGGTACTACTACATTCAAGGCCCAGAAAGGTAGTAAGAACATTGATAAAATAGTCCATGTGACATCAGTGGTTCAACCGTAATTTTATGAAGCTATGAGAATACTTTTTGTTTGCAAATAAACCAAAATAATGACTTTATTCAACAGTTTCTTCGCTTCCCTGTCAGTCTTCGACGCACATTCACGACAGTACCACGCATGCGTGTGGTGCTGCTGACACAGGAGCTGGAGTTCTGACGTAGAACCCGAATGTGCTGCAGCTTGTTTGCAAGCAGAGGAATGCACACATATGCGTCATGGTACTGTTGTGAATGTGCGCCAAAGACTGACAGGTAATAGAAGGAATTGTTGAATAAAGTCGTTATTTTTGTTTTCTTTGCGCACAGTAGTGTTCTCGTAGCTTCATAAAACATGGTAGTTGTGTTGCTGTCGCTCTCGGATTTCATCAAAAATATCTTAATTTGTGTTCTGAAGATGAACAAAGGTCTTATGGCTTTGGAACTACAGGTGCATCTCAATAAATTAGAATGTCGTGGAAAACTCAAATTGTGAAACTCGTGTATTAAATACATTCAATGCACACAGACTGAAGTAGTTTAAGTCTTTGGTTCTTTTAATTGTGATGATTTTTTATTTTGTGTATTTGGTGTAATGAAATGTGTTTATGCAGTAAATAGTAATAAAACCCACATTATTTTCCACATACTGTACATACTGTATTCTCCTCTATGCCCCGCCTTTTTGAAACACGCCGATTTTTACAAAGCTCATCGGTCTGAAAAAGCCCAAAGACTTAAACTACTTCAGTCTGTGTGCATTGAATTTATTTAATACACGAGTTTCACAATTTGAGTTGAATTACTGAAATAAATGAACTTTTCCACGACATTCTAATTTATTGAGATGTACCTGTATATGATGGTGAGTAATTAATGACAGAATTTTCTTTTTGGGTGAACTATCCCTTTAAATTACAGGATGAACTTAAAATAAGACTGCTTTGTACTAAGCTCTACTGTACATCTCTGTCTGAATTGTAATATCTGACCCCTAGTGGTGCATATCCAGCATAAAATTACTTTTCTGTGAAAGAAACCAGGCAATTATAACATTAGCTTGCATTGTGATTAGTCTGAGGTTGACATACTTTTGCAAGGAGTCTTTGTAGGTTGTCTTTGCCCATGTATGAAGCTTGCTCATTGATGGTTTGCTCCGCCCTCTGGAGAGTATTGCCCAGGTAACTGCGACAGCTCTGAAATTTCTTCAGCAGTTCTGTAAGAACAGTGCACTGCTCTTGTCTGTCAAACACACACACACACACACACACACACACACACACACACACACACACAGGGTTTCTGTCAACACCTGTAATTAAAGGGATAGTTCACCCAAAAATTCACCCAAAAAACCTGAATGAATTTCTTTCTTCTGAATGTGGGTATCCAAACAGTTTCTGGTCCCTATTGACTTCCATAGATTTTTTTTCCTCCATACTAAGGAAGTCAATGGAGACCAGCAACTGTTACCCACATTCTTCAAAATATCTACTTTTGTGTTCAGCAGAAGAAATAAATTAATACAGGTTTGGAACAACTTGATGGTGAGTAAATGATGACAGATTTTTCATTTTTTGGGGTGAACTTACCCTTTAAGAAAGAAAAATGGGTGAATTGCATTATTTAGTTTAGAGTAAATCTCAACTTGGGTATAGAAACCACCTGTCAGATACAGCTCTTTCAGTCTCTTCCCAAAGGAATTCAAGTTCCTCATTTGCTGGATCAGGGTGCTCTTTCGGTGGAGAGACTTCAGACAGAGCCTTCTTGATGCTTTGGTATTCAGGGCGAAGAGAGTTCAGTTGTGATTCGAGATCAGACAGCGCTCGCATCCTAAACATAGTTGTATACACAGTGTCAGAAGAATGAAGTAGAACACACAGAGATAAAATACTATTTTTTATTGTAATTTTATGGTACTTTTATTCCTATTTGGAACTTAGTGCAAGTTACTGTAAGTCAACTTTTGTTGTATAGAAAAAAAACAAACTTGGACATTCTATGAATGAATTGTATCATTTGCTTATTAGTTCAAATTAATCTCAATTAATTCCAAAATCAATATTTACTGAGCCCAAATAAAGACAATTCCAAGACCACAGCATTTGCATCATGAGGTCTAGGGAAGAAAGATCCATACCGGTGTTGCACAGCTGGCATGGTGGGATCTTTTAGACCCTGTTTTTCTGCTGCCACCTGCACCTTCCTCAACTCAGCCTGCATAGTCTTCCCCCTCAGACCGTGGCTCTGGTTCTGCTGTTCCTTCTGGAGCTCATTCTGTCGAATCATCAGTCGATCATCTGCCTCTTCCACCCTGTGAACCAGTACCCCCACCATGTCCAAACAGGAAACAGGTTTCCCGTCCTGTGTCACTTCAAGCTGTGCTCCACCTAAAAGCTGGTCCAGCTGTGGAGCCTTATCCTTAAGGCTGCTGACTCCCTTTCTGATTAGTGCCAGCTTGGACCTACTGTCCTGCAGGACCACTGCATCATTGCTGGGGGCGCTTTGCACAGAAGAGACATCAAGCTCCACAGTGCGAAGGGACATGAGGAAGCGGTCGAGAGCACGGGCAGCAGCGTCACTCTTGCGCACTTGTTGCCTGAGCCGGTCCAGGCTGGATCTGTGGTTCAGAACCACCTGGGTCAGAGGTGATCGGTCCCGCAGGTCTAGATGACTGGGCTCAGAGTCGAATCGAGACAGACGGTCCATCTCTGTCTGGATACTTTCATCTAAGTCCTGAAAATAAGAGAGAGAGGTAGATATTTAGATAAAAATGGGATGGAGGCAGAGAACTTAGTTTAACATGCAGTGAAATTACTACCAAATACTTTACATGGAACATTCTTGTCTCTCAGATCATATTATATTATTGTATATTATATTATATTTAAATAGTAACTGCACAAAGCACTGATAGATGATTCAAATTAATTGCAAATAATAAAATAAAATTTATTAAATATTATTATGAATAATACTAAAATATTAAAAACAATAACTATATTATTTATATTATATATTTTATTATATGTTGCATGGGAAAGATAAAACTAACGACATTAACCAATAAAATGGCATTTAAGTACTTGTAAATTTCTCTTTTAATTTGCTCAGTGTACATAAAAATAGAATAAGTGAATATAATTATGAATAATGTAAAAATATTAAAAACAATAGCTCTGTAGTCTCTCACCTTCACATCTCTCAAAATGGCAGGGTTAGCTAGTGTATATCCCTTAATGTCTTTGGGCTCTTTGATGAAACTGTCCAGCCTTTCAGAAATCTCAGAGATCTTCAGCTTAATAGAGTCCATGAGCTCAAGTGCTGCTCCCAGTGAATCCACCCTGACAGAATTCATAGACGTATTTAACAAACACAAGACACACACACACATACACTCAAGTTCTGGCTACAGGGTATTTTCTCAGGAGCTCTTTAATTTGAGCAGATCATGATTCTTTGGGTGGTATAGAGTGAAAGTGAACACAAGAAGCTGTAATATGATTTTATCTGAATATTCATTTCAGCTCACTAGTTTTAAAACACACATTAAAGCTTATACTGCTCTGAAAAATCAGTGTAATGTCATGTCTGAACACACATATGACAGGGATGTTTTCAGAATGCACACACATACCTGCCCTGTAACTGTGACCTCTGCTCTCTCCACCGGACAGTGAGCTCCATGCGGTCTTGCTCAACAGCTCGTTCATTGTACTGAACACATTGCATACACAGCGCTTCATACTCCTTCCACAGAGACTCAGTCTCATCCCACAGAGACTTAAACACAGACAAAAAAAGAGGGTTAAAATTGAATAATTTCCGTGGCAGTTATTTTAGTTTCTATGGCCTGATTTTTATAGTAATTGTCATTTGAAAATTCATAATAATATCAAATGGCCAACTTTTAAACAAAACACTGTGCATTACCTTTAATTCTCTCAGTCGTTTCTGCAGGTCTGTGGGAGTGACTGATTCTGAGGTACGATCGCCAAGCATGCATTGCTCATTTCTGTTTAACTGAGCCTGTAATGCAAATCTGGAGCTGCGGTACCTAAGCAGTTCAAGAAAAAGGCATAAACCATAAGATTCTGAAACAATAATCACATGCAATCATTTACAGAAACACATAGATATTCTCTTTTTATATCCATACCTGTCGTCTTCTGTACTCGTTTGTTTCACTATCTCTCTCTTCTCCACAGTTCTCGGTTGCTGGGGGCTAACAGGTGTAACAGCCTAAAACAAAATGTACCAAAATTGTTAGATAAAATTTTATGTTTAAAACATAAGTTCTATAAAATAATCATATAGTTGTACATCTGAAACAATAACCTGTTTGGGCTTCTCAGGTGATTGTGGGACTGTTGGTGCTTTCTGAGTGAGTGGCTCTTTTGTTTGCTCTGTTTGTAAACTATTAGGCATTGAAAAATGAATACATTTATGCTAAAATTGTTTCATCAGACTAAAATAACCGATATGAGAAAGGCTTTTTGTGTTACCTAGTGTCTGGAGGAGATGTATCTCTGTCTCCACTGAACTGCCGCTGGATGGCAGCAAGCCGTCTCTCACATTCTCTGAGTTGGGCTTGTGCGAGCCTGTGTGCATCCTCAGGGCTCAAAGTATCACACAACTCCTTCAGAGCTTCTAGCTGCTGTCCTGCCTCTGCCAGACTGCCCTCCTCAGACAAACAAGCCTGCAGGAAGAGAGAGAGGGGAAAAAACTAAACCTACTGATATGTATATTTTTTGTTATTTTTACCCATATCGTATCATTTATCATTTTATTTACTGACACTATTTAATGCTACTTTCATTTATTTACTTTCCACTGTTGTTTTATTTTGCAGTATTTTTAAGCTAAGTTTAAGGTTGTGCCATGTGCCAAGCAAGTGAGTAGTGATGTGGTTAAGAGGAAAGACAAGAATTAGAAGAATTAGAAGGGATTAATTGACACCAAAAGCAAACTTTTAATTTATAAAACAAAGGAGGAAATAAAATGTAGCTAAGAGATTTTCATCCCCACACCCATTTGTCCACATGACTGTTCATGCTCCGTGGTCAGGGTAGCTGTAACTTTACCTCTTCATTTGATTCTGATATTGATTCAGGCCTAAGGTTGAGTTTTTCCCTCTTAAAGTTTATCTCACATGTCTCCACCACACGGTTAAAATGCAGGCGGGTTAACTCAAATCGGAGTTGCTTCAAAAATTCTGATATTTGCACTCGAACAGCCTAAAAATATTAATCAAATAAAAAAAACACAACAGCAAGCAGACAACCTCTTAATGTTTGTAACTTCACATACAATCAGTTTAATACAGTGTAGAGCATTTCAGTTAGTATCTAAAATAAAAATGGTTAATAATATTAAAGTCACACTGCAGATATAGACAAACAAGCACTAATATTACTATACAGATACCTTCCACTGTGTTCTAACGGATTGTGTGAAAAACTCCATGTCTCTTATTTCAGATGGGGTGCAGAAAGCTTCCATCCCTTCCGCAGCCCTCAAGAACTCTTCAAGAAGTTCAGGGTCCAGAGTCCGAAGCGTCTCCTAAAAAAAAAAAAAAAACCAACACAGATACTTGGGGAAATTAACCAACATCTCTTATAAAAGATACAGGCACAGCAATATAGTTTAATCATATTAGGCTTTTTTTAGCTCTTGCAAACACTTGAGGAAAACAAGCAAACTAACTCATGACTAAAATGGACAAACCTCCTTAACTGATGCCTGTTCGTTCGTCATTCGCTTGTCCTTGAATACACTGATAGCTTCTATAATATGCTCTTGAAGACAGTGCTTGGCTTCCTCAAATCTATTTCTAACCAGGGCCTGTGCCTTTATATAAGCCTCAGTGTAGGCTTGAGGGGGTGCCTGGGCAAGAGCTGACTGCTTAACCCAAGGAGCTGACTGCTGTTGGTGTATCAGATCTTGGGACTGAAGCTCTGCCTGGGGAGCTTGGCTTTGGATAAGGGTTTCAGATGGGGCCTCTGGCCTGGATGAACTCCACTTTTGCTGACTTTGCTGAGGCTGTTGTGGAATCTGAGGTCTTATAGGAGCTTGAGCAGGTGGTTGATTCCATGGAGCTACTGGCTGGGGACCACCATGGAACATAGTCTGGGAAGAGACTTGAAACTGATGTTCTGGCCGGACTGGACCCCAGTGCCATTGAGGGCTTGGTTGCCTTGGTGGGGCTTGATATTGGGACTGAGAACGTGGTCCTATGGGCCCTTGGGTTTCAGACCCGGGGTATACTGGACTGACAGGCCTCCAGTGCTGTGAGGAAACCATATGCTGAGCTGGACCTTGGGGTCTCATCTGTGATTGACACCAAGGTGATTCAGGTCTAGCAGAGGGCCACTGCTGAGGCTGTGATAGCGGTTGGTTTTTAGGGTAAATTGCCATTTGGGATTGAGGGTGGACTACCTGACCTGGAACTTGGACAGTGGGGTAGGTCTGGGCCACTATGCCTGGTCTTATTGGTGACCACTGCTGAGGTTGAACTGGAGGGATACTTTGAGGTTGGGGATGAGTTTTGAAATGGGCCAGTGGCTGCATCTGGGCAGCAACAGAAATTGGTCCTTGGACTTTGGGGTATGTTTGGGTGACGTCTCCTGGTTGATACCACTGGGGTTGCCCCTGAGGTTGAATCATAAGTGGTGCACTTCCCTGTGCTTTGACCTGAGTTTGGGTTTGAGATTGAACAGGCATCTGGGGTCGAGGCATAGAGATGATTCTTGGTTGTATGGGGGATGCACCTTTAGGTTGAGGGGAAATTACAGTCAGATTGTGCATTGTGGGTTGCTGGCACTGAGCCTGCACTATACCATGTGGTGACTGTTGTCTCTGCAACATTATTTGTGGTTGAATGGGTGATGCTTGGTACTGTTGGGCTGGTCCGGAAATGCCTTGAGGCATTGTTTGGGCCACTGAAAATCTTTGTGGTTGTGGCACTGCAGGATGAGTTTGAGCAATAGTCTGTTGTGGCTGCCATTGGGCCATAACCTGTGGTTGCATGGGTGTCATGGATTGAGATTGTGCCTGTTTCTGGATCATCACTTGAAGTTGCTGTGGTGTCACTATCTGAGGTTGCTTTTGTTGCTTAATGGGTGCAGTAGCTTGTAGTTGTTGTGTAGTTGTTTGAGCTTGAGTTGATAAAGAGGGCTGAGGTTGGGTTAATACTTGTTTATGAATCGGAACAGTCACTGTCTGTTGTGTTTGTTTTTGAGTCGTTGATTGTGCTGGAACTGCTGGCAAAGTTTGAGGTAGTTTTCGTGTTACTACAAGAGGTTTCTCTTGTGCAACAGGCTGAGCTGGCTTCAGGTCTTTCTCATCACTCTCAACAATGCTTTTTGAGCTATGTGAGCTAACAGTCACTATATGCTGTGGTGGTGTTTGAGAACTTAATTGGCATTTGTCCTCAGGCTCTGACTGAGTTTGCAGCACCAACTGTGGTGCTGGTTTATGGGTAACATTTTCCAATTGACTCTTCTGCTGAAGCCAAGGTCTGTTCTGCAGATATGCCTGGGACTTCTTTACTTTCCTTTGCTGCTTTGGAGCTTGCTGTGTTTGTGTTTCTAGTTGGCCCTGAGGCTGTGACTGGATTGGTACTTGTGGTTGAACCTTCTGCTGTTTTGCAAGCTGAGTTTTCTCTTGTTGCTGTATGTGCACATATGGCTGTGTTGCTAATTGTTGTTCATTATGTACTTGTGATTCTGCTTGTTGTAGGTTCTGTGAGGGTTGGCTAGCTACTGGACCTTGCACCTGCCCCTGGTTTTCTGTCTGTTGTTGTGTCACAGGTTGTGGTAAAGATACCTGGCTTTCTACATGATGCTCTATGTCGATTTTTGTTTGAGCATGGACTTTCTGTGACTTAACTTTAATGGACTGAGAGTCTTTCACTTGCATACAGGGGTGCATTTGTGGTTCTGGACTACTTTTCTCATCTTCATAGTCTTGTACAACAATCATAGGCACAGTCTGACTACAAGGCTGGGTCTTCAGGTCTACAACTTGAGAAGATACCTCTGAGGGTATTTGAGAATATTTTGGGACTTTGGCCCTGACTGCAGGCTGAGGTTCTGTTTGGCCAGAGGCTCCTGATGGAGAGATAGACTGGAAGGAGGGTTTTTGGGTTTGGGACTCTTCCTCTATCTCATGATACTGTACAAAGATCTTGGAAGGGGGCTGGTCTCTAACAGGGCTTCTGTCTCTGCAAGCCCCTAAAGAGCTGAGCATCCCTATGGCTTCCTGTTGAGATTTAGCAAAATTTCAAAATCATAATTCATTTGCATGCAATTCTGAAACAAGGTTACTCATTCCTAGGAATTAAAGGAAAATAACAGAAAACATAATTTATGGCATAACTGATAATTATTGAAAGAGCTGATCCAATGCTATAGATTAACTTTTTTTTTAAAGGTGTTGTTAATCTAAAAGCAGTCGACAGACCTGTGACTTTTCAACAGCAGTGCGGACTCTGTCCTGCATGGTGGATACGATGAGATACTGCAGTGGTGAAGTCTTTTGACTATTCATGACCATCACCTGCAGATCCTGCTCCTCCATAACCACCTGACCCTCTAACTGTAGACCCCTTGAAATCAACATCTACAGGGCAAGAGAGAAGAGCCCTTTATTCCAAATCGGCTAAGTAAAGTGATGTATGAATATTTTGTGTTGCTTGTAGATACTCACCCGTGCTCTGGGGTCTTGCCCTCTTCTCTGCCTGTGTGTTTCCTCCTTCAGGAGCTGATGCAACTCTCTGGCTTCCATCTCCCAGTGTAACAGTTCAGCAAGACGCCCATCCAACCCGCTCACACTCACGCGCAGCTCATCACACACCTGCTCTGCCTCACACAGTGTCTGCAAGACCTAGATATACACACAAAAAACAGAAATGCATACAGACATCAGTAAAGATCATTATTATTGTTAGATTAACATTTTAAAAACGTGATATTCTGCTAATATGATACTATATAATTTGATCGCATACACAAAGGCAAGAAAAGTAACACAATGCACATGAAGACCTAAAGGGCCAACCAAAGCAATGCATTTGCTTACTTCAGGTATAGCTTCCTGAAGTTTGCTCAGGGTTTCTGGAGAGCAGTCTAGAGATGGCGAGAGGGCTTCTAGATCCACATCCTTTATTTTCGTCATCATAAGCTGGAAGAAATAACAATTTTAAGTTAAATCCTACTTGGTCTATTCTTAAATTTAGAAAACAAAAAGACAAAATCACAAATGCATACTAATAAAAAAGCAGGGAATATGAAGTATATATTGTGTGTTTTTATGTATGTGTGAGTGTGCGCATAAATGTATGTGCACACACTGCATACCTGTAATCTCTTTGTGTAAGTACGTAGTGATCCAGAAACCACCTCCACAGGTTCATTCAGTAACTGAGTGGCCTCCCTTATCAGAGACTGAACTGTCTGAGCACTAGATGGGCCAGCACTGGGCTCCTCAGCTAAAGACTGAAAATATACAACTTGCTTCAAAATACTACAAAAGGCAATCTATTTGATATCTCTGTCCAATGTAATCAGACAAAACAATGTATTGTTCCTATTCAAGATAAGCACACGTTTTTTTAATACTTTATTTTATGATTATGGTTGCACATGGAGTATCCAAGTTTGAACATGATGGGTAACTTACAAATTGGGCTATTTTGGCAAAGTCAGCCCAGAGCAGATTTATCTTGCAGAGTTCATCTGAAATAGCGCGGCTAGTCTGTGGGTCTGTGACCTCTGTCAAGTAGTTGGCCACCTCATTCAGGTGAGCTTGGCGAGAACTCCACTCTGACATTACTGATAATGTCACCTAGGAAACCAATGAGAGGGCATGTTTACATTCCAAAAAAAAAAAAACACCAACAGCCATTAAAAATATTTGAGCTTTGTCTACCCAGAGCATGGATTGACAGTAACTTCAATAACAAAGTAAATTCAGATTTTTCTCTATACATGTGTTTGTTCACCTCTGTTCTCTGTCTGTGTCGCTGGCCATGTGGACCCTGCTCCAGCCATGCGCGCAATGAGGTGTAGATATCACTGTAAGAGTCCCATGCTGCCAAAACACGGCCCATAGTACCCCTCACCATCCGTACACCCTCCAGAGTCACTGTCACATCTGCTTCCAGATCAGCCACCTGATGATTTACCTGAGTCGAGTCTCCAGCTGAAGCAGACATCAGAATATCAATAATTATTGATTGTTCAGTAACAAGACTTTTCACAAAAATGCAGAGGATACAGTTTTAACAGTTTTACAGTTCTTCATACATCTATAGTTTTTTATTGTCATTTCGTACTTATTTACACTGTAATTTTATGGTCATTTAGGAGCATGCATACACAGTTCCTTTGTATTACCCAAGGCAGCCTTGCTGGTGTATTTGTTGGCGATTAGTTTGAGTCTATGGAGGGCTCCATCCAGCAAAGAAGTCAGTTCCTGTTTGTTCACAGTCTCCTAAAAACATTCATTATGATCAAAGCTTAAAGCATCCACAATTTCAGAGTTTAATGTTTAATTTTAATTGCCAAGCAATGCCCAGGAGCAAAAATATTTTTTGCATTCTGACACTTTGACTTCACTAAAATTCTCACTCACATTCCAGTCCTGCATTAGCACACGAACAGCCTCCTGGGAAATGTAGGCTCTTTTCCAAGATCGCAGTTTAATGTTGAGTTGATTCAGCAGGTCTAACACTGTGTGTCTGCACTCATGGTACTCCAGCTTAATACCATGATATTTAGCTGTTACACGGACACCAGTGAACCTGGAAAATGGATGCATACACAAAATAATTAAATAGTTTGCTGCATTTTATGAACAGCAAATACTGCAATTAAAAATGATGCTGTTTCATTTGCAATCGGACTCATGTCTGATTAAGCAACCAAACTCACCTTCTCTTCATCTCTTCCATCTTGTCTGTCGGCACCAGAGTCTCTCCAAACTCATTTGTGTTTTGAAACATATTAAACCTCTTGATATGATGTGGCATCTCCTCCAAACACACCTGCAGATAAAGACACAGGCAGAAATGTGACATTACTTACATTTTCATGACTGAACGGCTCTATAGGCATAATAAAATTAACATAAGGAAGTCAGTCAAACCTTTAGTAGCTCGAGTTTCTCCCGGGCCTCCTCTGCGGCTCGGGCATGATCTATTGGCTCACCTTCTTCAGCAGATAAAACCTCTTCAATACGCAATAACCAGCGCCCTACGGTGTCCAGTGGGGGTGGGAGACTCAGGTCTAGCTCTGTTTTATACTCACGCAGCTACCACAGACACATATATCAGTGCAAATTAGCATAAGACTTCTACTGTGTGAATTTCTATACACTAGGAGGAAACTGCATCCATTTAGATGACATGCATTCAGACATGTTATTTTTCTGTTTTTCTATTGAGTCTGATGAATCTCAGCACAAAATCGAATACTCAAAATAGATGAATAAAACCCATCAAAAGTAACAACCAAGAAAGTTTCTGTGATGCAGTGACCTCTGACCTTCTCAGCGAGAGCATCCCATGCTCGTCTGAGAGCTTTCTGCTCTGCACTGAGATGAGGAGTCCTCTTCATCGCTGTTAGCAACGGCATTACAGGCCTCCGCTGTTCGTTAAAGGACACAATGAAGGTGTGGAAGACCTGACACAAAATCATATAAATATTAATGCAAACAAATCAACAACAATAGCAAATAATCATGTACAACAAAACTGGCGCAAATCTAAAAATGTGTTCATTTCGTTTATAGGATATCATAATTCAGTATCTCAACATATTCAATAGATTAAAATAGATTTAAAAAAACTGGAATAAAATCTTTTTCTGGAACAAAAAATATGTTACATTATTTGCAAATAAATAAATCAATGTTCTTCGCTCAAATTAAATAATGTATTTCCCAGAATAACTTTAGCGCATCTTGTTTCATTCAGCAGTGTGGACTTTTATTTCATTAAAATAAGATTAGATCAAAGAATAAGAATTTAGGTCTTACTTGGTATCTCTCAGCATAGCTCTCTCCTTCAGTGGAGTCCCACCCCTCTATCAGCTCCTGATAGGCCTGATCCAACCAGCATGTGACCTCTTGAGCCTTCTGATTGGCTGAGGTCTAGACAGATAGGAACAAAAAGGAAAGATCAACAAATAAACAAACAAAAAATAAAGAGTTGTTTGGCTGCATTTGAAATTGCATACTGCCATACTGTATAGTAATATAAAAACATTATGTGTAAAGAGTAGCATGTCCGAATTCACAGTTTTCATAAAATAGTAGGCAAAATAAAATAGAGTCCATGAATTGAAGGTGCATTCATACCATATAATAATTACTGCGATTACGAGATACCAACTTGTAAAAAGCGTTCACGTCCTCGTAGAACTCATAATTACAACTTGTGAACTGGGAGTTTTCTGAGAGCTACTACTTGTACACCCTGACCACCTCAGATTCATTAGGTGCTATGTTTAGGAACCCTTGGATTTGGACTCGGAACTATCGCACTATCAAGTCCAAGGGTGTGAACAGCTCCAAGTAGAACGTCACGTGTTGTCATCTCGAATTCACAGTAATTACAACATGGCGTGAATGCAGCATGAATTTGACACCCCTGTACTAAGCAATGCAACGGACGCTGGTAGGTCACATGACACATGCCAACATGGAGTAATGTTATAAAACATGCTTTTTTCATTACTTATTCAAAAGAAGTACCTACTCGGACACAGCCTTTGATTTTTTTTTTTAGAAGTACTTTATGGTGCCATTATAATCAAGGTATACAAAACAAAAATATTTTCATATTTCATATGAGGTAAATGATATGGATTAAAATGGGATTAAAGCTGTGCACAAGTTAAACACTATTTGCATTACATACTAAACCGTAAAGCAGAGTTTAGTACTGCAGTCCTCTAGAGGAAGCAAGTTCTTAACACAAACCAACTTTCTCAGCATGTCTGTAATTAAAAGGCTTTTGTTTATGTACCACGAACGCTCAAGTTGAGTGTATTAGAGTCTTCAAACACAAGATCTGCTTTATTAAATAAATTATCTTTAATTCCGTGGATTATCTCTGTAATGTCTGGTTTTAATGGATTAGTTCTGTAATTTCTGGGGTTATCTTCATACAGTAATTGAGTTTACAGTTATTAGCATGTTTATACATGCAAGACACTAGTAGTTACTGAGCATCATAGGGGGCATCTTAAAAGAGGACAGGGTTGATATTTTACCCTAGGGGCAGCTGCTCTAGCTGTCTCAGGTGATTTGGGAGGGCCTGATTTGATTGGACAGGGCATTAACAGGTGAGCCTGATCAGAGAACAGTTCAAGTAAAAATGACACAAGTGGACCACAATAAAAAAAAAAACTCTTCAGTAAAAATCAGTCAAAAAAGGGCAGACCTTTCCAAAAAGTACTAATATGTACCATTTAGGTACTAATATGTACACTTTAGGTACTACTATTTACTTTTAAGGTAGAAAGATGTAGAGGTAAATAAGGTACAAAAGTGTACCTTTTGAAAAAATACTGCTCCAGTGATAGCTTTTGTACCTTTTTTGAGAGTGTACAATATATACTGCATTTACACATTGGTTTAGGATCAAACAACAAGCCAGACAAGTCCAAATGAACCTTTCACAGACATTCATGAATAATCCTGGTAACAAAATGATAACAAAAACTAATGCACCTTTACCAAACTAAAAGAGAAAAAGCAGTTAAGGAATCCAGCAGCTACTGTAAAACTAAGAGAGAGATAGACAGATAGAATTACCTGTCTTAAAGGTGACGCAGCTATAGAAGGAGTAAAGTCTGATGGCAGATTGACAGGAGAGAGGCACTGAGGAGGAGTGAGATACTAAACCACCATAGAGAGAGAAAAAACAGAAAGAAAAATAAACAGAGGAACAAGAGAAAAAGAGATGTGAGAGCATAAAGAGTCACTAGAGCATTTCGATTTATTGGAGGAATACTGTCCTGTGTACTTGTTTTGAAATATTATGCTTGGTGAATATAAAAAAAAAATACACACAAATATAGTAAAACCTAAGGATGCATGCTTAGAGGAAAATTTCCAATTGAGATTGAACTGAAGAAAATTTTGACTGATTAAAAATGTGATTTTTTTTTAATTTTTTAAAAAGCTCTATTGTAATTTTGGTTTTATTTTGATTAATCATGATGCCCTACTAACACCACACAAAGGAACAGTTCTAAAAAATAGCTGGAACAAGAGAGTGAATAAATTATGACAGATCTTTAATTTTTGCTTGAACAATTCCTTTATTTTCATGGTTAGGACATGGAATTAGGACAGTGCTCTTTAGTTAAATTTAGTACTGAAAATTGAAAATATTGTTTTTATTAAAATATAAAAATGGCAAAAAGTATCTGTAAGAGACCAGATTTAGGGTATAGTCATTGTAAAGCAACAACAAAAAAAGTCAATGAGAAAAGTGTGCACAATGTGTGTGTGTGTGACGTGTGTGTGGCTAACCTGCATTTCCTCATCAGAAACAGAAGTATCTTTAGAGTACTGCAGGAACTGAGCAACATAAGTCATAATAGATTTTTCATCAGGATCCCTAACATCAACATCTGAAATACAAATACACCATTCTCCTATGATTAGGTCATATAGAAAACAAAAGCCTAAAATTATCACTGCTTGTTGCATACATACAGCAAAACAACACAGCATATATTTGCATGGCCCAAACACACACTTACCGGCTGGATCTAGTAGTCTGGGGATGTGAAGTTCTCTTTCAGCAATGTGGAAGGCTTCCTCCAGGTTCTGTCTGTTCGTTCTTGTTCGGGCTCTGGTTAGGTCCACTATATTCGGTCTTAGAGCATGAAGTATCGCCAAAAACACTACACCACTCCTCCAGCTCGCCTTAAAATCCTTCACATTCAGAGTACAACCAGCCCTGAGAAAGATGCAAAAAGAATAGGGTTTTATAGAACAGAATCTCACTGTTTCCAAGAATCCCTTCTAGCAGGTTGTTCCTCACCTCTGGCACTGCTCTCTGACCCACAGCAGCAGGGCTTTCTTGGCAGATACGCGGAAACGGGTGTGCAGGGGTGAACCACGGGGTGGCACTGGACTGCTGCGGGCACTGCTGCTGGTCGAACGAGTGTCCAAACTCGCCAGTGACTCCAGAGACGACTGACGAGAACTAAAGTTCAATGTGCTGGCCAACTCTTCGATCTAAACAATGTAAAATACCCATCAGAAAAATCACAAAATTGACAATCACTCTTCTCAGTTATAGTATATTTGAAGTACATTTTATATTAGTACACTTTATTAGGATTTCTGGAGTCTTGGGGGTAATATCATCTGTATCATCTCTTCTGTTAGACTGAGACAGTAAACTTACATGAATGTGCATGATGATGGTCCAGACGAGACCCAGAATGATGGAAGGTTTCCCGTCCATAATGTCTGAGACATTGATGTTGACCAGCTTGATCTGCAGGACAAAGATGTTGATAAAGTAACAGATGTTGATATTTCACCTCTACACAGCAGAGAGCTAAAAGCAATGCTTTTCTTCACACAGTTGTGTGAAGTGCATGATGTTGGCTGGAGTGGCAAAGAAAAATTATACTGTTCTTCAAAGCAGCACAGAATAATCTTCACTTTCATTAGCCTGTCCAGCATCCAAAAAACATGCATGCTGAGAACAGAAAATCCCCTTCCCAAACAAACAAAAATCATTAATGTAGTTCCAACACAAATGGATTAACATCTGTTTTACAAATTTAAATTGATTGCATCAAGTTGAAAACCTTCTCCTGTTGGGGAAAAAAAATCAAGAATTGAGTTGATCCATTCATGTGTTGATACATGAAAATGAGTATTTTCCACTGTGGCCACTGCTGGTGCATCTTACCGATTTCCTCTTAAGGAACGCTAGACCTTTCTCAATGTTTGTTCTGTGCTGAAATGTCCCCCTTCCTTTTTCCCGGCTCTGAAATGAAGGTAGGTTGCGGTTATCACAAAATAACTGCTATTGTTTTTTGTAACAGAATGGTATATCTGCCAATATTTTAAGATTATCAAGCATGCCCACATGACCAAATAACAGCTCAGCTTGTGTCAGTTCCAAATCAACCAATAACCTAGTCAATGGATAGTGCACATTCTTCTGTTTTCAAACATTTTTGAGCAGATATGGAGTATAATTGTGCAAAATAAATATTAATCTCTTCTCATAAATCTCACAGTAAGTTTTATTACATTATAGGCGTACAGGTATAGATGTGTATGTATATTGGGCAATGGCCACTTTGCTCTCTAGATATCAGCATAGGTTTTTGAAAAATCAGTTGACCACTAATGAATCAGACACTTACCATTCTCTGACCACTCGACACCTCCAGCAGGTCCAAAAGTCTGCTTCCATCTCTGAATTCATTGAAAAGATCCACCACAGTAACTGGAGGACTCCTCTGAGAAAGCAAAATAAAATACCACATATTAAACACCACATGGTATATACCATGCACATGGAATATAAATTTATACCTAAACCATACAGGGGCAGAATGGGTTCTACATCTTTCTTTGTTTAGATCAGGGGCGTCAAACTCAATTCCTGGAGGGCCGGGGCCCTGCAGAGTTTTGTTCCAACCCTGCTCCAACACATATACCATGGCATGTAGTTTTCAAATAAGCCTGAAGGACTTGATTGGTTGGATCAGGTGTATTTAATTAGGGTTGAATCTAAACTCTGCAGGGCTCCGGCCCTCCAGGAATTGAGTTTGACACCCCTGGTTTAGATACAAATAAAATAAAAAAAATGATTAAAAGTAATTTATCCATCATCATATCTCACCTCAAAATTAAGAAAAAATTTAAGTTTGGCTTTTGTTGTTGTTGTTTTCAATTACAATTAAGCACATTACCCTCAAATCTACCCAAAACCTTTTTTGTGTAAAATTGTATAGTTTGGAATATTGCTTAGCTTCCATTTACAGTTTTGTTTGGTAATAGAAGTCAATGTGCTCATAGCAGATTTTCAGACATGTCTAGAGGACAAATCAAACAAGCTTGTGTGAACTCATCCGGTAAAAACCTTTTACGTGAAACTGAGAGCTCCAGGCATTAGTCATACATAAGTGTTTGCTGGGGAGATGGAGAAAAGAGCATATGAAACTATCTAAAATAACACCTCTTATCTGTCCTCTGTTCATGCATGTAAGACATCAAGCCACGACAAACTGATTGTGTCATTTGCTCACTTTATAAGTAGCTGTGGGTGTGAATATGTGTGTTCACGAGTGTGTGTGCTGAGCAACTCCTGTTGCTGTCTGTCTTTCTGGCCCATGTCTGAGAAGATTATATTTACCCCCTGCCCACCCGATTCCCTCTCTGCTATTGGAGAACCTGCAGGAATGACCTCTACCAAAAAAAAAAAAAAACTCTCCATGTCCGTCATTTATCTGTAATTTAGTTGCCGATTCTGATGTCATTGTTATTTACTGTGTAAATACACATGATTAAAAATAATGCAAGTGAAGTTTATGATGATTCAAATAAACACAACATCATTGATATAGCTTTTCTAAATCAGGTTTAGGAGCTCTTGAACTTTGACCCTCACCTTAGACAGCTGGGCATTGATCCAGTTGGTGAAGGTTCTCTTCTGAATTTGCTCCTGCTCAACTGAAGGCAAAACAGACAGGAGAACATCATGAAAACCAGCATGTAGAAATATAGTGAGGGAACACACCTCATACAATTACACACACATGATCTGCAGGATTGAATCACTATGTGCCGTGTTTCAGTTCAATTCAAACAAATGTCTAAGAATAGATCTTATAAACGCATGAGCAAGAAACAGGTGCATTTGTATTCAACCAACGATAACATTTTGGAGGGTATAATGACACTAGTCAGGTTTGTCTTTGTCTATTTTAATACAAAAATGTGTACCTTTTACCCTAATTACATTTTAACCCAAATTCTTTTCACCCCAATTAAATAAAATTGAAATAACATGTTTTAATCTGTAGAAGAATAAACATTTATTTAAACAATGAGGAAAGAAAAAAAAACATTTGTTTGAGAGCAAATTCATTCATTCATTCATACCAATCTAAATAATTTGTGTGTGCTCCACATGAAACACAATACAGACCTAAAAGTAGTAGTCACATCAAATAGAGCGCCATTTATGTTTACCGTTATAAAGTTCCACAAAGTCAATGAGCTCTTTGGCTGTGTGAAGAATATCTTTCTCCTCCAAGCTCTCTAACTCTACTTCTTCCATTCTTCTTCTTGAACAAGGACCCTAAAATCTCTCACAATATGACCAAGTCTACACAGAACAGCTTTTACTAATACAGTTTTCTCAGTGTTGACAACTCTCTCCTCAAACGAACATGTGAAATCTTCAACCACTGTTTCTGCAAACCCCTTAAGACGAACCTGACTGCCAACCTGACTCTCTCTGCCAGCCTGCGGTGATTCTAAAAGAGCTCTCCTTCATTAACTGCTAAACATGGCCGCACTCACTATGAATAAGACTCTCAGGTCAGTTATCAGGATAATGTCTCAGAGCTGTCGCTGTTGACTGACTGACCCACAAAGAGAGAACGAGAGAATGTGTGTTTCAATAGATTCCTTGACAGGACTGGAAGAGTTTGACATGTATCAGCAGCACAGGATGAGAGGAAGCTTTGAAACGGTTAATGTTATCAGCTGACACCCACGCTAAGTTTCCTAGGGATTTATTTAAAGTTCAGCTATCAAATACTAATGCACTTTTACACTTGACACAGTTAACCCAGGGTCATTTTACCCCGGAAAGTGATTTGTCAAGCACTGAGGAACTACACAATACTGTACATAATACTGTTTTGTTACACAACAGGTAAAAGAAACCTGTACACAAGGTGAAAAAAGACCCACAACAAAGGTAACCATCTTGTGAAAGTATTTGTTTATAATAAAAAATAACATTTGTTTATATATAATTGTATCACTCTGATGTGTTTCAGTCAAATGTAATTAATGACATTTATTAATGGCATCCATCTGTAGTCTTTAAAAAAATCAAACTGCATGTTGCTGCTGTTAAGCAAAACAGAAACTGACACAGGGATCAGGTTTGGTTTCTGGGATTTGAAACTGAGGTAACCCACCAGAGACCTAGTCCAAAAGAATGACTCGTAACTAAAAGACAACAATGAAAGAGGCCAAAAGAAATGAGTGAGGCAAGTGCAGCGAGGGAAAAATTATGTGGCAGACACAAACTCAAAAACTGAATCATTAGCCAAGGTGTTGATCCACCTCAGAAAGAAAGATTTGAAAACAACAAAATCCTCCCAGTGAACACTCCCCTTTACTCGTGACATACTTTAAATGGACGCTACAGAAACACAATGACAGAAAAGACTGGAATGTTTCCACTGAACAAAGTTCATATCGTATGGTCTAATGTGTTTTGGGAGGTGCAGTTCTTAAATCGTTAGAGACAACACCTCCCTTTGAGAGAACAACAGAGGGAGGGGAAACAAAAAGAGGAGATAAAAATAGAAAAGACACATAACATGGATGACAACTTTAGCTGATACTTCATTCAGGCGGGACAGATATGATGAACAAATTACTTTCATAATGATTCATAGTATTAGAGAAGTAAAAACAAATACACTACTATAACTGAAAGCTCCATGATTACTATAATCTTAAAGAACTCTTTCAAGACATACAGCCAATATTGAACGCTTTAAAATAAAAAAATTTTTTATACAAATTATGTGCACTTTACCTTGTGATCCGTGTTTCTTCTTATGATACCTTTCAGATGGGTGTTCAACCCTGACCAAATGAGGCAACTTCTTTTTGTTGTCTTTTAAGGAGACATCAACAGTGGTGATTGCACAATGATGTTCACGTGTGCATGATAGAATAAAAATAATGTTAGTTAAAAAAAAAAAAAATTAATTATTGCACACTGTCTGGTCTATCTACGTTTAAACAGCATTTTGCAACAGAGGAACAAAAATATTTCAAACCAACTACAAACTCACCCATGCTGCTGTCAGCAGATTTGCTATTCCAGAATTCCCTGTATTATCATCAGTTGTTGCATGTTGAAGTGTGCAACAACAGAAATGTTGCAGAAACCAGCGTCATCTTGCAATGCAGCAAAGCAACGCAAATCTCCCACATTGAAATACTGAAGAACATGCGTCAGCTGTAGAACTGAAATCTACCGTAAACACACGGCACAACTTGCCTGGTAACCTTTAGCGAAGTCATTCAAGATCACGTGCCAGTACAGCAGGTTTCAAAAAAAGCTCCACCTTTTACTTCTGCCAAAAGAAGCGCACACAGCATGTCCACACAGGTACTGATTAACGCTTCTCCTAATGCAGTTCTACTGTATCCTCAGGGCTCCGGCAGTGATCAACATGTTAAGACATTAATTATTCACTGATTCTTGAGACATGGAACAAATATTGTGCAACACAATTTCACCTGCCATCAGTTTTTAGTAATTTCCACTGACTTTTTTAGTTCATTTCAGAACTCTGACAGAGAGAAATATTACCCAATTCATAATGTCATTTTTTTCTAATGATTTCAAAATGATGGAACAAGTAGCCTGAAAACACATTAAAACATATTAGTTCTTGTCAAGTGATCGACCCCTCAATTCCACAAACGAGGAGTGAACAATTATGTTTTTTTTCAGAAGTAATCTTGCCTTAATTATTGCCTAAATTGTGTTCATTAAAGGAACAGTTCACTTAAAAATTGAACATTTGCTGAAAAGTTACTGATGGACTGATGGAGTTGTGTGGATTACTTGTGGGTTATTGTGATGTATTTATCAGCTGTTTGAACTCTCATTCTGACGGCACCCATGCACTGCAAAGGATCCATTGGTGAGAAAGTGATATAATGCTACATTTCTCCAAATCTGTTCCGATGAAGAAACAAACTCATCTACGTCTAGGATGGCCTGAGGATGCACGAGTAAAGTTTCCAAGTTTGCATTTTTGGCTAAACTATTCCTTTAAGAAATCTTATCTACACATCCACATTACTTTACTCTCAAAACAACAACAAAGACAATACAATAGAGACAGCAAAGATTTTTGTGGATTAAAAAAAATGGAATTACCCACTCCCTGCATTCTAGAAAAACACTTTTTGTGCAACTCTTCATGACTCAGGGCAACAGAACTTTAATTACATCTATCTGTTACCAAACAATCTGCAAAACACGTGACCATGCATTATTTATGCCTTATTCAAGTCATTGATTCAATATCACAGCATAATGTGTTTGGGTGTATGTATTTGTGAGAGAGAGATCGAGAGAGAGATTTTAACCCATACCGTTTGGCATCACCAATAAATCACTTTAATCTGCTTTTAAATAAACAGATTAAGAAAGATTTTTGAATGAATGAATGAATTCATAGAAACATCCAAAGTCCACTGAAAATGGCAATATATACATTTTGATACTGTCAAACCTATAACAGACAATGACAATGACACACCAAATCAGATATGAGATATTGAAATAGTTTATTTTAGTTTTATGCTTAAAAAACTTCAATCTGACCTTGCAGTAGAATGTGGACATCATCGATGTCCAGTGGCAGTGAGCCACGTTCTCCGGGCAGGTCTTCAGGTGTCCTCTGTGATGCCATTATTCCTAAGGAGACAGGTCAGCTGAGAACAAACTGAGGCATTGCAGCATCTGTGGATGAGACAGATGATGTCAAAGCAGTCCAGGTTTACACTCTTAAGAATAAAGCTGTTTTCACAAAATGGGGTTTTCACAGTGATAACATAGAAGAACTATTTTTGATTCCCCAAAAGAACCTTTCAGCAAAAAGTTTTTTTCCTAGTGTGAAGAACATTAAAAAAAAAAAAAAAAAAAACTTTAAAATCTTCCATTGTGTTCAATGGAAAGTTTCCATGGATGTGAAAAATTCTTTATGGAAATATAGATGTCAATAAAGAACCTTTATTTTTAATAGTATACTTTAACCTTCCTTTGACACCGGGGAGTATTAAGAGGCCTTTCTGATATGCATTTCTTTTTTGACTGTAACTTTTATGAAGTGCTTGTTTTGTAATTTAAGGAAGCATTTCTATAAAAGGGTATATAGACTTACAGAAATATGATATGGTCAAGCTGATTATTTACCTGAAAAATACATTTTTCAGGACGTGTCAGTTGAAAAATCAATAAACTGAGTACTACTTAAAGCAATATTCTCAAGATATAAAGTTTAATTTGAAATTATTTTTTTTTGTTGCTGGTTTTTCATATTAGAGGTCATAGAAACAGAAATAACTATGAGTTTAATATTTTATCTATCATATTAAGACACATATGATGAGGAAATTGAACATACTGCACAGTAGCAATGACCCTTAAGTTCCTGTGGATAGACAAATAAAGCAATGGCCCCAACTGTCGTTTTTTTCAGAATCTGTGATGCATGTTTAAATTTATCGGCATTATTAAAAATGATAAATATTAGATAAACACAAATTTCAGTAAACAGTAAAATCAGAAAGTCATGGCAAAATGTCAGTCTGTGACCATGTGAATATGTGTCCTTGCAGCACAATGTGACTCTGCTAGAGAACAGAGGGGTGGAGGAATGTGTACTATCCTGAGCTGGACTCACAGGAACATGAACATCTAAACAACAGCACAACAGCATCTCACAACAGCATCTAAAGCATTTCACACGTACAGAACGCAACACTCCCACGGGACGATCACCTAGAGCAGAGACAAATCTTTTATGGGAACATATGTCACTACGCCTAACCAGAAAACTCCAAATACACTGACAAGTGACAAAGGAGTGAAGTGTCTGAAACTGCCTTTGAACAAAACACTGGGCACGAATAGTGTTCTTTATTCACCCAGAATGTAGAACTGTTTACCAACTAAAATTTTTAATTAAGCTCTTTATGCAACTTCATTACACCTATGTTTTTTCTATTTCTAACAGAAATCATTGCCAAAACAATAAGTAACAGCTAATCCCTTTGAGAACAATGAAAGCTGTAAGTAACTTTAAGTGCATAAGCTTTCCTCTCAGCAGGTTCACATACAGTGGCATAAAAAATTTTTAAAAAAAAATTGTCAATCGCAAAATATTTTATGTATGTATGTATATGTGCATATATATTAAATTAAATTAATATATATATATATAGGCTATGCAATTTTTTGCCATTGACTTGGTAGGCCACTGACTGTATGTGGGTTATTGTGTAGGCTATGTTATTGTGTTTTGACCATTTGAATTATTAACTAAGTTTCCGCTGAACTTAGTCTTTATCAGAGTTGCATACAAAGGCAGCAGAAACGTTCCGCACACGGTCCAGAATAAACAGCGTGACCTCTTAAGCGCGAGAAGGGCGTTGCGCGCTCCACGGGCCCAAAATAGCGCTGGCGCGGGCACGCGTTACAATTAGAACACAATATAACACACACGTCAATATCAATATCAACTATCGAACACATAGGCCTACAGTCTACGAGTCTACTGCGTGGCTTTATGGCTTTATCTGAGCCCGACAGTACTCTTTTAAACTGAAAGCCTATTCATTTATAGTATATTATAAAGTGGCATAATATTTATTTTTAAATGTATTTAGGCTATATTATAGTATGCATATAACGTTTTAAACTCTCAGAACAAAATTCACAACAACAAAGATAATTAATACATTAAAATAAGCATGGTATTATTACGATTGAATCCGAGTTATGCGTTATTCAGTGACCTTAGATCTGTCAAGGTGGGTCTGTTCAGATGAACTTGAACTCTACTTACATGTTTGACAAAGTATGAAACTCTCTTTAAATGTCCAATTGCACCAGTGCTGAAAGTTTTCCGTCGTCAACTACAACAAGGACAAATACAAATCGTAAGGGAGTTCATATTACTGCGTGTAGCGAAGAGTGAAGCTCATATATTCCCTCTCGTTTCCAGCTGAGCTCGCGGGGAGAAGCGGCCGCGCGGCGGAGTGAGTGAGTGTAACCCGACGCGACCGCGGGGGTCTCTAATTATAACGACCACTCACGGCAGCGAGCGGACCTAAATGAGCATAGCAGACAGACCAGTAAATTAACCCCCTCTGTAGATCAATAACCCCACGGTGCGAATTATCTGCGAAATTAAGCAAAATCTGCGTGGGGAAGTTTTTCGCCCTCAGGCAAAATTCCGGATCGCACGTATTCCTATTGAATTTAATTCGTCAAGAAAAATTCGCACCTTAAAAGTTAGTCACTGCGTATATTTTTCACCAGCTGCTAAACAGTAATAACGAAGCTGAGTAGGCTAGATGAGGTAACCATAACAACAAGTAGCAGAGGCTGCTCATAGACGGTGTGTCGATAAAGGATTATTAGTCATATACAGTAGGCCTAAACCACTTTAGACTTCAGATTCACAAACAACAAATAGGCAGCACAAAATATCGTTGTTTAAAATATTATTATAGATTTATATAGGCTATAACAAGTTTGTCCTTTAGAATTGAAGTGGCGCCGAATTACAACTTAATTTCATTTTTATATTTTAAACATTTACATTTCACATTTACACCTACCTACATGTTTACATATATTAATTTATCAGACACATTAAATAAATCCAAAATTATTTTAAAATACTCGGACCTTCTTAAAGTCATTGCATAATTTCCCCTATAATTTAGTGGCCTCATGCAGATCAGTCCGTGTCTTTAGGATTCTGTTTGATTTGGCTGCATAGTTACGAGTCTATGCCTGTTTGTCATTCATGAAATCCAAAGATGTTCAATGTATTTTTTCCCCTAATTAAAAAAAATAAAGAATAAAGAATGTAATAAAGAAAATGATTTTCAGAGGAAATTAAGCCAGCACAATTGTCACCCTGCCCCCTCAGGTGTCAATTATATCAGAACTTTTAGGGAAAATCACTTCTTAGATTTTGCCACCATGTTGCCATGGTAAGTATCTGACTAAACTCTAACTGTTTGGAGCCTGACACCTCCTTATATTCCTTCTGGAGCTAGGACTAACCACAGCCCACAAAATGGATGGATGAATAAATGAATACATGGATTACAGGATGAAGGTGCTTACCATTCTCTTCCATCTTGATGATTCTGAACAAAAGGAGGTTCTTCCTCTTCATGAAGTTAATGGATGTACAGCTGATGTACCTGAGCAGCAGGTAAGACGTGCACAGATTTTAGAGCCTGAGGGGCTGGCTCAATCTCCACACACATGGACTCATCGGCTCCTTCCCTACTTGTCTTTGGTCTTATGTGACATCTCTTTATTACTGCTGGATGCAGTTGGCGCTACAGAGACAGCCTCATGTGTTCTAGGTGGGGCTGACAGTGCCGTTTCTAATAAATTACAGATTTGTGCAAGTTCAGTGACAGGTACTTCAGGAGAGGTGAAATCAGGACTGGAAGTGAGATTTCTTGCTGATTCTGGAGAGTTTAGCTGTGTTGCGTCTGCCATCCAGGTATCTTTGACCTTGCTGAAACTAAGACAAATAGAAGATAAGTGACAGTTATGTTTTATTTGATTAATAACTGTTATTTTGTAAAAACAAAGACACCTGCTTTTAACCACTGAGAACCACAGTCACTGGAATCAGCAATGGCTCCTTTGAGGTCTGGAGCACAGGGGCGAGAAACTTACATAGTCTTTTCTACAGCACTTTATGGAAGTTATATTTATGGTATATAGCTTAAAAATATAGTAAAACAATAATGAATGAATCTTTGATAAAACAATAATGAATCTTGAAGATTTGGGGGTTTGTAAGATTTTTAATGCAATTTGTTTAATGTGAAATATTATTACAATTTAAAATAACTCTCCTATTTTAATATATATTAAAATGCAATTTATTCCTGTGATGGCAAAGCTGAATTTTCAGTGTCACATGATCCTTCTAATATGGATCTGTCTTCTAATAAAATCATTCTAATATACTGATTTGATGCTTAAGAAACATTTCTTATCATCAGTGTTTTAAACATTGAAACTTAAAATATTGAATATTTTTGAATATATATTGAATATTTGAATATAACAATAAAATATTGTTTTTCTGTGCAAACTATAGTTTATCATATAGTTATCATATATGATATTTTGATGAACAGAATGTTCAAAATAACCATTTATTTGAAACGGAAATCTTTTGTAAAGATTAGAATTGTCTTTACTGTCACTTTGATTAATATAATGCATCCTTGCTGAATAAAAATACAAATTTCTTCAAAAATTTTTAAAATAATATAAAATAAATATATAAAAAATCATGCTGACCTCTTTTGATTGATAGTGTACTGTACATGTTGAAGGCATGACACAATTTTTACAAAACTTTTAACATGACCTTTATTTAAGTAAAAGAAAAACAGCCCTGTTTTCATAGATCATTACAACTCAAAATATAAACACTTGTTACATTAATCAAGAGTAATTGCTTAATTTTTTGTAACCTACAGAGCATTTAACACTTAATCATTGTTCTGAGACACACAACCTCATCATAAACTCTCATTCTTTCTGTATGTGTGCTAGACTGTCTCTTGTAACTCTATGCTGTGTGACACTGGCTGTTTGGCTGTGTTGTGGAGCTTATACAGAGGCTTCTGTGCTCAACCTGAAGCGTTTCATCGGCTGTGCAGTCAGAGAATTTTCCTTTCTGGCCCGTAAGCCGGGATGCAGTGGGCTGCACATCACCACCGATGCCTGCTGGGGACGCTGTGAGACTTGGGAAGTAAGACTGATGTTATCAGCCCATGAAAAACATACTCGCATGAAAAGAGAGAAGAGCTTTTGCAGCACACCTGCAATGTGATCAATACTTATTCAAAATGATATGATAAACAATGTCAAGGTGAAAATTAATTTAAATGCATTGCAATTATTTAACCGGGTTTTATAATTCTCTAATATATGAAATAATAAACCACCAGATCCTGTATATTACATAGTAGCATAAATAATAGATAATAATAATGCAAATTGAATTTCATAAAAATGCAAAGATATTATATTATAGAATTATATTAGAGAGATTCAATTTGCAAAATACATTTTGATTGTGTTTTAATGTTACACATAGAGCAGTTAAAAGCACTTTGGGAACAGAACTCACTTTGACCCAAATAATCATTTTCCAAAAATGAAAAAAAATAAATAAAAATAAACAGCTTTTCCTTTAGTGCTCTTAAGAGAAAGGCGGAGAACCTCTTGTGCTGATTGCTGGAAATTAAAAGGAAAAAATAACAGAAAATAGAGAAAAATGGTTGAGATATTTTTGGATGTGTATGTATTTTTTGGTTCATGACGATTTTCTGCAATAAATGTTTTACAAAAATTATTATTTACTGCTCTTATTATTGATAAGAGCATATCTGAAGGAGACTGACGGTTTATTTTCTATGCGTACACTCAGAAAAAACAAAAAAATATGTTTCATGTGCTAACATCGAAATCAACTACTTTTTATCACTCAAAGATATAACCGAATATATATACCTCATCCTCACTACATTAGGTCAATTCAGTTTTAAGGGTCAGATCAGGACAACATTCATTTCTGAAGAAAAATTGCCTTCAGGGACACATTTCACTTTCAGTAAATGTTATTTGGGTTGGAACAGACATTGAGACATTATTTAGCATATTTAATTAAAGATTCTACAGTATATTATTAAATATTAAACTTTAAAGATGCTCTTAAGTGCACAGTCTATCTAAAAAATAAATCAGTGCTCAGATGAAAAGTCCTCATTATGACATCAGTCTGATACACACCCTTCTCTTCACCTGTCAATCACTGCAGAAACCAGTCCTGGACCCGCCCTTCATCGAGTCGCACCAGCGCGTGTGCACTTATAATGAAACTCGATTAGAGACGGTGCAGCTGCCGAACTGCTCCGCAGACATGGAGCCGTCCTACACATATCCAGTGGCCCTCCGGTGTGATTGTGGGGTTTGTCTCACCAGCACCACTGAATGCATCACTTCGGTCTGATGGAGAAATCAGCCTCCACTTTAGTTATGGTTAAAACACCAAAGAGTATTGTGCACTGCAGGAATAAATAATAATTTATCAAAAAATCTATTTGTTTGATGTCTATGTACATGTGGGAGAGATTTTACTTTCAAATGGTCACTGTGTGTTACATTCTCATCTTCTTTGTATTTTCCTTCTCCTTTTTTCATGAAAAGAGCAAAACTGAATAAAACTGAATAAAACTGCATTACTGCAAACACCACACCTGTGGTCTTCTGTCATTGCCTGAAAAAAATCTTGTAGCTATAACCCATTAAATTATATAGCATTTTGGGTTCTATCCTCTTCTTTTAATTGAAACAGAAAAACTACAAATCCTCATGCACTAGCATTTATAAAATGTATTAAACTGATCAAAAGTGACAGTAAAGACATTTATAATGTTACTAAAGTTATGTTCTTTTGAACTTTTTATTTATCAAAAAGTTCCTTCTTAAAAAAAAATTTGTGCAATTTCCATTAAAATATTAGCAAAACTGTTCAACCTTGATAATAATAAGAAATGTTTCTTGAGCAAACAAAAAATAAATAAATAAGCTTATTAAAATGATTTCTGAAGGATCATGTAACAATGAAGACTGGAGTAAAGGCTGCTGAAAAATCAACTTCAGGCCATCACGGGAATAAATCATATGTTAAAATATATTAAATTTAAAAACAGTTATTTTTAATTGTTAGAATATTTCACTAAAATACATTTTTTTTACTGTATTTTTATCAAATAAATAAATGTAGCTTTGGTGAGCATAAGAGACTAAGAGACTGAGACAACCAAAAAATTGGTTGCACTTTATTTTACAGTATGTGTACTTACAGTGTACTTACCTAAGAACATTCTAGTAATACAAGGTAACTACATAGGGTAGGGTTAGGTTTAGGGGTAGGTTCAGGGTTAGTACCTAGTTATTAAATAGTTATTGTAATTACTATAATAAGTACATAGTATGTACATGAGGAACAGGACTGTAACCCCAAACTTTTGAACAGAAGTATGTTTCATTATTTCCATATAAATGACCTTAAATAATCATACAGTAAATAAAGGCTGCGATTTTTTAAAAGTACTGTATAATCCGATGGCCACAGTGCATGATAGGTAACAAAAGCCAAGTAAATTTTTTTGTTTTTCTTATTTGTCAGGAGATTTGTTGTGTGTTTGTTTTGTAGATGGTAGAGGCAAAAGTCTTGTGACTATGACACATGTCCATATGTGTGTGATAAAGAAATCATTAGGGGGTCCAACCACCTGCTCAATGCTGCTCTCATCTCAATCACTGACTCATAGTGTAATGCCATTTATAGTCATATATTTACCACCTGCTCTTGACTTTCCATCTAAGGCCAACCAGACAAACTTTTTCTCCATTTAAACTTTAATGTATTTACTTTACATTTGCTGATCTCACACATACGAATAATGTATAATTTATAATTTTCTCATCATCAGAATACTGCAGCACTGAAGACTAATTTTTCTGAATGCTGCGTTACTGTGAGTTCACATGTCCCAGCAGTCCCTGCATGATAAATTATTTAAAACCTCACTAATGTGAAAATGATGAGAAAACATTTTCCTCTCCTATTCTGGCATTGTATTGAGTAGCAGATGCACATGATTATTACTTTTTCCATTATAAACCTGAACACAGTGTGTAACGCCTCAGAGGTCAAATTCAGCAGTTTCTGCACTGGAAATTAGATTTAGGTCCAGCAGTTTAATATAGTTTCATTTAAAATATATAAAAGTAGAAAACTGTAATAAAATATTTCACAATATTACTTTTTTACTGTACTTTTGATCAAATAAATGCTGCTCTGGTGAGCATAAGAGACTTCTTTAAAAAACATTTTAAAAAAAAATCAACCCCAAACTTTTAAATGTAAGCATAATTCCATATAAATTATCTTAAACAATCGTGGTTGTAAAGTGCAGTTACAAGATACTATTTCCCCCATTTTAACTCCGTGGCAATATAATATACTGTATAATCCGATGGCCACAGTGCATGATAGGTAACAAAAGCCAAGTACATTTTTTTTGTTTTTCTTATTTGTCAGGAGATTTGTTGTGTGTTTGTTTTGTAGATGGTAGAGGCAAAAGTCTTGTGACTATGACACATGTCCATATGTGTGTGATAAAGAAATCATTAGGGGGTCCAACCACCTGCTCAATGCTGCTCTCATCTCAATCACTGACTCATAGTGTAATGCCATTTATAGTCATATATTTACCACCTGCTCTTGACTTTCCATCTAAGGCCAACCAGACAAACTTTTTCTCCATTTAAACTTTAATGTATTTACTTTACATTTGCTGATCTCACACATACGAATAATGTATAATTTATAATTTTCTCATCATCAGAATACTGCAGCACTGAAGACTAATTTTTCTGAATGCTGCGTTACTGTGAGTTCACATGTCCCAGCAGTCCCTGCATGATAAATTATTTAAAACCTCACTAATGTGAAAATGATGAGAAAACATTTTCCTCTCCTCTTCTGGCATTGTATTGAGTAGCAGATGCACATGATTATTACCTTTTCCATTATAAACCTGAACACAGTGTGTAACACCTCAAAGGTCAAATTCAGCAGTTTCTACACTGGAAATTACATTTAGGTCTAGCAGTTTAATATAGTTTCATTTAGTTCCACAATCACAAATGTGTGCAGATTTTGTTCTGATAAATGTGGTGGTTTCTTCACCAGAGTGGGACAAAAATATTGTTTATCATTGCGACAAAGATGTACTTCAAATAAGGGCAGCTGTGGTCCTGGTTTCTGAAAAAATAAATAATTAAATTAAATTAAAATTAAATTAAACTCATTACTTTGACATGACATCTCTCAAGATACTACCTCAAATATTTTTTTTTCAAACAAATCTGTCAGTCTTCGACCCGAGTTTGGCGGGGTTTGGCCTCGGCGAGATTTAGCCGGTCAAAATTTCAACTTTGGGGGGCGCTATCCCCGGCCCCCAGGGGGCTATCGACTCGGGGGAGGCGTCATCGGATAGGGGGCCTCGAGGTCTATCTTGGACCCGAGTTTGGCGGGGTTCGGCCTCGGCGAGATATAAAAGATCATGTGACACTGAAGACTGGAGTAATGGCTGCTGAAAATTCAGCTTTGCCACCACAAGAATACATTTCCTTTTAAAATATATAAAAGTAGAAAACTGTAATAAAATATTTCACAATATTACTGTTTTACCGTACTTTTGATCAAATAAATGCTGCTCTGATGAGCATAAGAGACTTCTTTAAAAAACATTTTAAAAAAAATCAACCCCAAACTTTTAAATGTAAGTATAATTCCATATAAATTATCTTAAACAATCGTGGTAAATGTGGTGGTTTCTTCACAAAAGTGGGACAAAAATGCAGATCACTTCAATTTCTTTCCACAGAGTTGCGTTTGCAAAATATTATGAGAAGCTAAAACTGAATTCTTGATTTTGAGTCATGCAATATAAAGTGTTGTAAAGTGCAGTTACAAGATACTATTTCCCCCATTTTAACTCTGTGGCAAAAACCGTGTGTGGGGGTACAAGAGGGAGCCTACAAAAAAGGTTGATGCCTTAGGGCCATAATCCATCCTTGCTTTTGTTCAACGTTGTTCCCAGTGATTTTGTTGCTACGCTAATGTTGGCATGTACGATATTCACCAGCATTCCCAGAAATGTCAAACCTCCCCCAATGCTGCCTTTGTCCCAGATTAACTGCCAAAATTACCCTTCTGTTAAATCACTTCCATTCAATTAACTGTCAAATAAACAAACTCTAAATCTGGCCCAACTCATGGGCAAGACAGGATCTTTCAAACAACTCGGGGCGTTTGAGCTGACAGGCACAGATCCATCCAAATGAGGTTCTAAATATAAGCAAGAAAGAAAGATATGGGAGAGAGTGTACAGTCTTCCTACACAACATTTCTCTCTCACCTTTACGTTAATTTATTTTTGGCCTTTTTAAATACTATTATTTATGTCTGCACTATATCAAGCTCACTAAATAACTAAATCATAATGTAAATGTTTGTGATAACCAAATTTTTATCACTGGACAATGAATATAATTCCTTTCTAAGTAGACTGAGTCCACAACATTATATAATATGTCCAGGCTAAAATGAGATTATTCATTTTTGAAGGGCAGCGATTTTATGATTACTTTCCTATGCTTCAGTGCTTCATATCATCTTAAGTTTACACTGATATGTTTCAATACGCTCTTTCAAAAGGCATAGAGATTGACAGAGAAAAGAAAGCAACATGAAAAAGAGAGTTAGGCCATGTGACCTTAGCTAGAATATTACACTCTAAAAAATGCTGGGTTAAATATAACCCAGCGCTGGGTTAAAAAGGGACGCGGTTGGGTTGTTTTGACCCAGAGGTTGGGTTGCTTTGACCCAGCGGTTGGGTTCAAAACAACCCAACTGCTGGGTTCGTCCCTTTTTAACCCAGCGCTGGGTTATATTTAACCCAGCATTTTTTAGAGTGTAGCTTGCATGCATCTGATATCTGAAAAATCTGATCATTAAGAATCTAATAATTCCCATTCATCTTAATTGCAGTATATAGCTACTGCAGAATGGATTTAGAAGTTAATGCTAAAAGATGCTTTCGAGCAGCAGAGTGGTCGTTTTAACAGGGGCTAAAAAAAAAGGTAACTACCAAACTCTTGACCCCTTGGTCTTTTTCCTGATATACTGTAGAACAACAGCTCATTGAGACCTTGAGACCAACCAAAACTGAGAATATTTAGTAAACAAAAGGCAGACCTCATCTTATATTCAATACAGCAAAGTCTTTTGTTTTAAATTCACAAACACACATTACTGCTGAAATGGGCTTGTATTTGTGAAACAACATTTATGTGTGTGAGAGAATATAAAAGAATATAAAAGCACAAAACTAATATTTTAAAACCAAGCCAATCCCAGATCTTTAGCAAGCTCAGCAAAAAGAGAGACAGAATGAGAGATAAATGGATTGTAATAACAAAATCTTGAGGGCTTGATGCCAAGCTGCAGCACCACTACCTGAAAATTGACTTCAGCTGAGGGCTTCATCTGTCTTTCTTTTGTAGAGAACTGGATCGAACCAGCAGGACCGTAATACAGAGAGCTGCACTCTTAACCTGTGCTGGTACATTTAACTCTGTGCTACCTGGAAACAAAGAGGGAGACATTAT